CTGAGATAACCTCTCCATCTGAAGCACAGACAACAGCCTAGACTCTCTTGTACATAGACTGCATTGCTGCAATTTGGACTGAACCAGTAGTCATCATCAATCCATTCATGAAGTTCCCTTTCCTGATTCCCTTCTGCCTTTTCATTGGACAAATAATTTGTTCTACTGAACAAATTCTACTGAAATACATGATTCAAGAAACCAAAGACCAATATATGTAAATCCCTCACTAATTCTATCTTTAGTTGGTGAACTCTGTGCTGCTCATTATCAGTCATCACAACATTTCAAATTGTATTGTTCTGTGATAATAGAACTTATCATATTTAATACATAATAAAGTACAAACAATGTCTTAGAACAAGTGCCCCAAATCAAAACAAGACCGCAATTACTCACGGGAGACTGCCGTATGATCTCCATTGCAACAGTGTTAAGCCATCAGTGCATCCATTGTGGAGAGGGCAAAGAGGAGAAAACAAAGAAAAGAACAGTTCTCCATCAATCCTTCTTTTCATTCATCTGCTGACACAGTCATGTAGTTGTCTATTAATATGCAATATTTAATCATTTTCTAGCAACATGATAAATAAGCCCGTACCTGGCACAAACCAATGACTGTCACTGGTAACTATCCATAATGTCCCCCAGCTAAAGACATAACATAGTAACTGTTGGCCATCCATTCCAATCATTATCTTACTATGCATTTAAATAACAAACAGCACCATGCCTCTCATCTCCTCATTAATTCATGTGTCTGTTTATTTAACAACTGCTACTTTAAAAGAAGTCTAGGGGAGTAGTCACCAATAGACAGTCCATGCCCCAGCGAATGCTCAATTCTAAGGCACAAAGTGGCAACACTAATTAGACTCTGTGTATTGTTCTTTATAAAAGCTTTTCTTTTAAGGAAAGGCATGGTATTGGGCAAAGCAATACAAGGACTTTATTCTCATCCTTTAAAAGAGAATAACATTTCAAATTGATCCATTGGTAATTTTATACATATATATATATATATATAATGCATTAAATCAGAGATATGGATAAACACTCAAAAGCATACCCGTAAATGTGTTAATCATCTATGCAATCACTTGTTCACTTAGATTCTTCTTTAACTAATCATCATACTGCTTATATTAATTAACCAATATAGTGCTTGATCCCAATGCCACATTTACAGTAGGCCATGATTCCCATGATTTGAATACATCTAATCCTTTTTTCATGATACAGTGTGTGTCCTAAAGCAAACCATCCAAACCAAGAGCAGAACTTTTACTACTACTCAGAGTGGACCAAACGCTGCTACACACAGGGGCAACTCTAGAATTCCAGAACACCAGAGAACACTTAAGCATTTTTTGTTCTGGGATATGCAAAGGAAAGCAAACAAAAATCAGAGTGAGACTCCACTACACTTACTCTCCACCCGCCCCGTCAAACCATTTCTAGTGAGACGGGGAAACATTTGCTAATTTTCTTTAAAGAAAATTGGCACAACTGAACTATCATTATTTCTTGTGTCTTAAAGAAATAAGACACATGGATTGTGTATATTTCTTAGTAAAATCCACTGTTTAATGTAGTAATAAAATACATGTATATATAGCCATACTGTGACCCTTTCATTTTTGTAATAACCTATCCCTAAAATCACTAACAGAGACAATAACCTTTATCCATTGTGTAACCAGACCTCAGCAATTTAGACAAAACCACCATTGGTCCTGGTTGGGATCTCTTTATTCACACTAATTTACATGTGTCTATTAAATAAGTAATTTAATTCAATAGTCCTAATTTTAAAAACTGTGATTCATGAAACCTAAGAGCAATAATTATTCTTCATGCCTTTAGGATTGCCAGCCATACTCATATCATGTTCTCTAATTATCATCAATGAATTTATAAGTGTAATATTTCATGCTAGTTCCATATTTATCACTTTACACAGTTGGCCTTGTGAACACTTCTTTATACTTTTAATAATGTAATTAAGCTTCAAGACAAACTCACAAGGTCATGAACATCAATTCTCACTCACATTGGTCTCTGTGGTCTCCACCCACGAAGCAGGCAGCATGGCAGTCCTCTGTTAGCTGGAAAGGATCCTTCCTCAGAGAAAAAACAAAGAAGGTTAGAAAGACTAACCCAAATGGTCCTCTTTCATCCTATTCACTAATTAATTCACTGGATATTAATTAAAATTTTTGTGTCATAAACACTGATAACAAAATGACCATCTTTGTGTGAGACTGCATTTGCGAGTATGTCTCGTGCTACTAACACGAACCATTGTTTTTCAGCACACTGCCTATCTGATCCTTAATAAAGAACTCAGGCCTTTGATCCGTGCTTTTTCTTAACACACATCAATATACAGAGTTTACATTAATGTTTCAATCCTCCTTGTAAATATTAACAGTAAGGCAAGGCTTTGATTTATTTTCTTATATACATGTTTACTGGTCTATGAGCAACTTTACATTGATAAAATGAAGTGTGTAAATACAAAAAGAAAACAAGGTCCTGGACCAGTGAGATGGTACAGTGGACAGAGGTGCCTGCCACCAAGTCAAATGAACAATATCCAAGACCCACATGGGGGAAGGAGAGAACTGATTCCCATAAGCTGTCCTCTGACCCCCACAGGTATAAGCTGTGGGAGAAACTGCCACAACCCTCCCAAAACAAATAAATGAAACAAATAAGATCATTGTATATCCCTAGCCATCCTCCACAGGGTCATTAACAAGACAGAAATAGAACAAGTTCATATCTGTCTTGGGCCTCTGTTTCCAAGAGGCAAAGAGGATGGCAAGGCCCTATACCATTGAGTCACAGAGAAAACAAACTAACCAATAACTCTGGTATAGCAGACAGAATGCTCCTACCCAAAGAGGCAATGGTAGGGACGAGAAACCTGCAGAACACAGAATCCAGTTCACAGGTCAGCCTAGGACGTCAAAAGCAAAACAGAGAAAAAGGAGATTGAGACACAGTCCAGGTTCATTCATCAAGTTACAAATATGTATATATGAATTTGAAATAATATATTTAATTTACTTTGTAGTATACATTTTTCTGTATACACTACAAGAATATAGCTACATAAAAACCATCTAAGGAAAAGCTCCCTTTCCATTATAGCATCCATAAGAAAGAGCCCTTCAACCACAAATGATATATTTGTTCCTGTCTTTATTGGAACTGAGAGCTCCAGAGAATGTACCCACGGTGGGATTCATTTCTACTTATTCCCATTTAGTGTGTTAATTAATTAGTTCATAAATATCTAATAGCAATACAACCAATATCTATTAATTATAAAAACTCAGTTTTTAAAAAAAGCATTGATTCTTTTCATAAGCTTTGTGCGGGGGGAGTTTGAGTGCACGTTCACATTAACTATTTTTGCTGTTGTACTTCATACGCTAAGAATGGATACAGACACACCCTTTTTTCCATTTTTCCTTACTGTGTGCATTGAGTAATTGGATTTTCTTAAAGGAGGGACTTATATAGCCCAGTGTAGACTCAAACTCACTAGAGAGAAGCATACCCTGATAAAATTGAGACATTTCTTCCATTGACACTGGTATCTTTGAGTCCCTGTTCAATCACTTAGATGTATCTGATTTTACTTAATGTATATTTCATAGTCTATTAAGAAGAACAAGGCAATATTGAACTTCCATTAACCCAATGTGAGAATATCAGCCATCACTTAGCTTCTCTGTCATTACTATTAGCCACAGAAAGATCTCTGGACACTTTTCCCTTGGCCAATCATCACTATTTATTAGCATTAATACTTTTAATAGTGTTCTTTCTCATTTTTATAATTATATGATACTATGCCCCCTTCATCTTTACTTATTTATAATTATACATTGATTATTTATACTTTTAAATAATTACAACAAAAAACATACCTTCTCAACATGTCCAACCAAGTGTTTTGATTGTACATTCTCTTATTGATTTCCTGACTGCAAAATAATCAAAACCTGTGAAAAACAAATTCAGACAAGACTCTTATGAAATCGTTTGTCTATCTATAGCATTTGTTTTGGAGTGAGCAAAAGTTATAATTATTTCTCTCTGGGGCTTCAGTGTTCCAGGCGCTCTTCCCCACCTACGGCTCACACCAGCAGTTATATTGATCCAGGGTTCTGGCTACTTCATTTCTTATTATCCAGCCTTGTTTACCAATTAACTCACTAGCTGCCTGTAAATGATCAAAAGTCTGCAGACTAACAGACTTTAAACATGAATGAACCTTGGCTAGTTCTTCATCTATCTAGGCAATTATTTGCTGCAATGATAATATAACTAACTTGTGATCCATTAATATTTCACAAGGACTGACCACTGCAATATTGCATATCAATTCTATATTGACTATGGCTACTTTGGTTCAACTATATTTAATACATTTCAAATGAAGAGTACATATACAGTAAAAGGTATACATTACATACTCTTTAAAACTCACATCAGTCTCTATGTTCCAACTCTATAGAGCTACTCATATATAGTTGTAGGCAAATCTCAAGCTCTCTTAAGTTTTCACTGCCATGTTTAATTCATTTGGTGATTTAAATATTTATTTGTCCATATTTATATTTTCTGGAATATGTTACTATTTATCAATATTGATAGGTTCATTAAGAAGAAGGGTATTTGACCAATGACCATTTTGGGTACTGATGATGGAACCAGGGCCTGCGGCTACTTGGCAGTGTTGTACCACTGACTGCACAATATCATCATGTGGAAAGAGACATGTGCACACTCTCAACTTTCCTTAGCTCAAAACACCACTCTCTAATGTGTTTAGGCGAAATCCACCCCCATTGCATACAGACTTCCGTATTCTCAACATCTTTTATCTCATAATATAGTTTACACGACTAGCTAAGGGCCACTCACTCATATTATTTGTCCATGTTTCTGACATTCACTTGCAATAAATATACTTCACACTGTTTTAGTGATAGAGGAAATATCTTTTATTGAAAACACACTTCTTCATACAACATATTTGCATTAGTGTCCCCTCCCAACACCCCCCAGACCCTCCCCATTTACATACCCACCCTAACCCGACCCATTCTTTCATTCTCTCATTAGAATGAAAAATCACAAGAAACAAATACAGACTCTAAGATACATGCATTCCCACATACAGAAAACTCACAAAAAATAAAATCAGAAACCACAATATATAAGCAAAATATCCATAGGGAAAAAACAATATCCAGACAAAGCATTGTGTGTCACAAAAGCTTCCAAGGATGCCATTGAGTTCATGGGAGTTCATTTTGTGTTGGTGATGTGAGCATGAGCCTCATCCCACAGGTCGTTTATATATCCAGAGAGAGTCCGTGGGAGAAAAATAGAGTTTCCATTGAGAGAGTTTATCAGTTGGAGATAGCATCCGGGTTATGGATATGGGGTTATGTCCACTTCCCCTCTCAGTGCTGGGACCCCATCTGGCTTAGACTTGTGCAGGCCCGGGGCATGCTGCCACAGTCTGTATGAGTTCATTCATATCTGCATCAGTCCTGCTGTGTCTAGAAGGGCTTGTTTCCTTGGTGTCTTCCAGTCTCACTGGTTCTTATAATCTTTCCACCTCCTCTTCCATAGGCTTCCCTGATCCCTGAAGGGAGGGATTTGATGGAGACATCTCAGTTAGAACTGAGTGTTCCAACATTAGAAGGAATACTTTCAAAAATAGCATGGTCAGGAAAATGAAACATTACTACTCTAGTTAGCTTCACTGTGCCAAACAGGGGCATCTGACACTAACCTCACCACACTGATGAGTAGGGGTACAAAGCAACAAAGTGACTTGAAAATGGGGTGCAGTGCACTCAACTGGCCTTGCTCAATTCTCTCCATCATTTCCAAACCAAGCACTACTGCACATATGTGCACATAACTTTTATTCATTCCTCTGTTCATATTCATAGGGGTTCCTGCCTGTGCTATTTTTTAAACATTGGCCAATAAATAACATTCATGAAGACTGTCTTTTATTATTTCTTTGGTTTTTGACACCAGGATATAACCAAGGGTCTCACACATGCAAGACAAGTGTGCTACCACTGAACTAGCAACTGCCTTTGTCCCCATGGCATCATTAACTGGTTTCAGGGTTCTTAACAATCATGATAGATTGTTTTCCCTTCATGACATTTTCATAATTGAATGATGATTTACTTACATTTGACCCTTTTTCTAATGTTAGCATATAACATTATAACAATAGAATGAAAGCAAATGAACACCACCCACTATATGACTATTGCCAACAGTGGTGGTAACTCAAGTAACTTTTAAGTACAAGACATCTGGTATTCAACATGCATAAATTATAGGTGGTGGCATCCAGGCATTTTTTATTGGTTCAGGTCAAACCTCATACAATATTGTATATGATCTCATATTTATAGTTGTTTTTCCTGACCATTGTAAGCACATCACACCTCTACATGGAAAATCTTCCAGGAAAACATTTAAAAGATGAAGCTGTAATTACTCACGATTGTAGCTGTGACCCTGATGGCATTGGCAACTTTAGAACTCAGGACCAGGCAGCAGTCATCCATTGTTCTGGAGTTGGGCTTTCTGAGAAGATAGACAAGGAAGTACTGAGATGCTGTTCTGCCCACTCAATTTGCCTTCCAACATCCAGTCGTGTTTACTTTCTCTTCAGAAACATATTAGCACTGAATTTCTACTAATTCAAAATAAGACCATTGGCCATTATTTCTGAAATTCATGTCATTTGACAGAAGAAATATATTGGAACTACTAATAAAAATCTAACATTTCCAATACATAGTAGTAATCACCTTCATCTGCTTTCTATAATTTAAAAAATAGTATGATTCCCTTACTCATATTTTTATCTTATGAATCTATTGATTCTTTCTGAATTTATTTGTAATATAACCAAAATTGATTAACACTACTAGCAAGGATGTAATGTGTCCTCTATTTCCACATCTGTGTAGATGACCACCACTAAGAGTCAATGTTGACCTCAGACTACCAGAACTGTAATCATGATGTATGACTCATAGTGGTCATCATTGACCCAAGACAGGTCCTTTCACTTTTCTTTTAATTTCCACATTTGTTTGTTAATTAATCTGCGACTATGAATCATAAGACCTAAGAACAACATCCTTAAGCCATCTAGAGCATCTATCACTACTTTGAGGGAACCTGTTTTTTTCTTTATTGTGCTCCATTTTGCAAGTATTGATTAAAGAGCATAATGTTTGATGGCCATGATTATTTCTCAGTCAGCCATAGTTGGCTTTAGTGAATTCTGGATGCTTTTACCCTCCCCCCACCCCAAATGAAAAATCAAGGGATGTAAACATACTTACACTGATCTCTGTGTTCTTGACACATTAAGGTAACTGTAGACTCGGGAACCAGAATATGAACATCACTCTGAAAGCTTCTATGCTGACAGTATACAGAAGAAAAAAATTGCAAAAAATATATATTATCCACTTATCCTTTCATTTTAAGTCACATGGGTAGGAGCTAAATTGTCATAGTTTCATTTACTTGATAAAACAATAATAAATCCTCATGCTCTGAATGAAACAATGACTCAATATTTTTTGTTCTTAGCTAGTAATGCCATTAAGCAACACTTTCTAAACAACTATCACTTATTACTATTTCTTGACTGGCATTATCATGCTGAACAGTGTTGAGTTGCTTAATTTATGTTTATATATATTTGCATAAGCATTCTTTAATTGATTCAATTTTCAAAACAAAGAAAAATTCAAAAGATGAATAATAACCTGCATGACCATACCTAACAAGTAATTCTAGAATCAGAACATACACACTAGATGCCATAAGGTGTAGAACTCAGACTTCCAGACCTGTTGTCATGATCCACGGCTCATACCCAACAAGATGTCATCACTGATCCAACCTTGGCCTCTAGTTTCTCTGATGAACTTATAGCATTGTTTATTAGCTGGTTATTCATTCACTAGTGAAAATTATGAATCATGATAACCAACTATACATAGGCTGCTTTGTGCCTTTACATCAATATTGATATCAAAAATGTTAGTCAACCAAAAGCTCCATGGCCACATCACATTTCTCACTGCATTCTATGTAATGCCTTGAAGAAAACAGTAAAGAATTAAAACCAAGACAAGAACTTGACTCACATCGATCCCTGTGTTCCTATGTTCCATCAACCGGGTGACCAGTGAGGAAGGCATCTATTCTGAGAGTACAAAATAAAACAAGGGTTAAAGGATTCTTCTTACATATATATTCATTTGCATGTTATCTTCCATTTCACTAGTCATTAAAGGAAGGCTAACACAAAAAGAACTAGATGGTGTATTTTGAGATTTTTAATCTCTCAATACCTTTCTAAGTATGTTTATTTTGAGTGTTACTGGTCTATAATTGATATATTATCATTTCCAATTGTATGTATTATGGGTTGTCTGAGGGCATGTTTGTCCCTGCATGGCTTTTCTTTCTTTTTATGTTTGTTGAATTTGTTTTATTCTATTTTTTCCACATTTTTGTTGTTGTTGTTATTTACTTGTTTGTTTTCCAAAGAGAGAGAGAAAGATGAGGTAGAATTGGGTGGGTGTGGAGGAGGGAGGATCTATGAGGAGATAAGGGAGGGGAAAACATGATCAGAATAATATATTGTATGGAAAGGATGTAATTAAAATTCAAGTATCAAAGGCTCAAAGTTAAAAAAAAGGTAAGTGTTTGGTGATGGTACTTTCTCTTGAGAAATATATCAGTGCTATGGAGGGGAAGAGTTTCCCTGTGTTATCATTCAAAATGTTAAAAATGTGTTAACATTCTAAAAGATGGTTGGAACTAACTTGGTGCCACTTATCTCTTAATGACCTTTCATTATCTTAAATATCATTATTATATATTGCTGTAGCAAGCCCAAAACTGGCCTTGAAATCATAGTCCTCTGGTCTTAGGGATTTCTCTAAATCACTCCTCCTGCTATTCTTGATTTCTTTATTTCATCTTATTAGTCATTTTAGAACAAACAAAATGCAGTTATATTTCTTTTGGAAAAAAATTAATAATATTGAACATAACCTTGATCCTAACAGAAGTTATGGTTATTATTTACCATTTTACCCAAAGATGTAAAACTTTTGTCTGATTATAAAAGTAGAAAATCATTCATATCTGCAACTATGATCATGGGTATAAGTTAGCTATTTTATGATGTGGACCTCAGACTCCCAGACCTGTAATCACGATCCACGACTCATAAGCCACCAGTGGTCATCACAGATCCAACATCAACCCTCCTTTTCTCTATTAATTTCTTGATGCATAGTGAGCAACTGCTCACTTTTGATACTGAAGTAATTATGAGTAACAAAAGTACAAAAGTTTTAGTATAATACAAGTTTTATAGGTCATTAGCCCTGTGGCATATTTCTTTCCTCATGAATTATTAATTTGGTAAATTTTCGTAAGCATTATACGATACCCAGATGCCATTATTCATGATTTGGACAAGGTAGCTCATCCAGATGGCAAGAAAAATTTCAGCACTACTATTGTAAGTCACAAAGGCAACTCAAACCAAGACAAGATTGTACTCACACTTTGTCCACCCTATGAATACCAACAGTGGGTCACAGAGCTCATGACCAAGAAGAATTAGGAAAATCAACTTGGAGGTCCATTCTGAGAGTTAAAATAAGAAAAGCGTATGAGAGGATTGGCATTCTGTTTATTTATCCATAGATGTGCATGCTTGAAATTATCCTTCTTATCATTCTGCTAAGTATACAATAACACTATGCTATGTTCTTTTTTATGGACCAAGAAGCCATGGCTCTGATCCTACCTATAAACATTGTCTATAATGGTAGTTGATATGGCATGGTATCCTCAGCTTTCAAGTCTGTTTGGTATGTTTTTCAGTATTGTTGTGTAATTATGTCTCAATTAGAGAATGACTTTCAAATTTACTTTTATTGATAAGTAGAGTATTCTTATCATCTGTCACTAGGATGGTGGGTAAATACTAGCTCATTTATGATGTGGACCTCAGAATACCAGACTTGTCGTCATGATCCACAACTCCTACAGTACCAGTGGTCATCACAGGTCCAGCATCAGCCCTCCTTTTCTCAATTAATTTCTGCATGTTTATTGAGCAACTGCCCACTAGAATTACTGAGATATTATGAATCATAAACATCTCAGGATAACATCAAAGGCTTTACTAGAAAGCTCCTTCGATTCTTTAGATATGATGGGGATATAATTTCATTGCACATTCTTAATCTGAAATTTTTATTTTGTACATAGTGCTTCATGCATATGCCACATTTTTCCTTTTGCCATGGATCCTCTTCCAGGACATTAAGGAGATTTTTGTCAATAAAGGAGAAACCATTAAAAGCAACACAAGAACACTGAATGTACTTACACTGTGTCTATATGGCAACCCCAAAGAGATGATCATGAAGATCACAATGAAAGGAGAATGTGTAAGTCACCTTGTGGGGAAATCCATCCTGAGAGTACAAAGCAGAAGAGAATATAAAAAGATTGACATTCTGTTCACTCATCCATGCACTCTTGTTACTTTCTTTACCCATCTCTTATCACTCATATAATTATGTGTGACATTGAGATGAGTTCTTCATGAGGGAAAAATTAGACTTGGCTGTCACCCTACCACGAACATAAACTATAGTTTGAATTCATTTGGTATCCTCAGACATACTGTATGAATAACTTATTATATCTGGTATACCTTATTAGTACTCTTATGGAATTTGGGCTAATTAAAAGATGTCAACAGACATGCCAAAGTTGTTGGGTAAAGCCTATGAGGCCTCACCCTACACAAAAGAACTACAGGGAACTTAACAATTTTGAGATTGGAAGATATAGTTTTCTTCAGGAAAAGCACACCAATTGGGCATCCAATACTAAACAGTCAACACTGAAAACATGTGTAAGAGTAATGTCATATAAATGGAGCATATTGAATTTAGGAATGCATATATATATATATATATGTTTATATGTGTATGTGTATGTATATGTATATGAATATGTATATGTATGCATCAGCATGAATGAGTAAGGCAAAGGAGGAATATATGGGAAGACTGAGAGGGAAGGAAAATGGAATAAATGATATAATTATATGATAATTTCAAAAATTTTTAAATACCTTAACAATTTTTATTCCTATTTTCATTAAGTGTAAGAGTAGACTATCGTATACTTCTGGCACTAGAGTCGTGGGTATAAGTTAGATAATTATGATGTGGACCTCAGACTCAGATTTGTAGTCACGGTCCGACTCATAAGCTACCCACGGTCATCATCGATCCAACATCATCCCTGCTCTTCTCTATTAATATCTACATGTTTATTTAATAATGATTCATTACTCCTTCTGAAATAATCATTTATTACAAATATCTAAAGCAAGATTCCTGAATATGCTTCAGGATTATTCAGGATCTTTTGACACATTAAGTATCTCTTTGGTCATACAATATTAGCTGGGCAAAAAATATTTTTAAACATTGTTTTTACCCATATGCCATACTAACAATTTGGCCGTAATTGCACTTCCAGATGTCAAGAAGCACTTCATCTATACAATAGTCTACTAAAGTGTCCAAACCAAGACATGAACATTGAATATTGACTATACTCACACTATGTCTATCCTAAGAACACAAACAGCAGGTCAAGAAGCTTGTGACCAACGGAGAATGTGTAAATCAGCTTGGGGGTATCTGCCTAGGAGCACAAGACAAAAAAGAATACAGAAAGATTGATAATCTGACTACAATCCAATGCAGTCTATCCACTAGCATTGCCCTTCTCTTTTTATCCCTATGTAAGTATGCAATACACCATGATGCATTCTTCTTGAGAAAACAAATGACCAGGGCTCTGAAGTAACAAAGGACATAGCCTACAACATGTGTTCACCTGGTATCCTCAAAAACCATGTCTGAATGAACTACTATGATAAACATATATTATAGGACTTCTGCTGTGCAATTATATTTTGATTAGAAAGTAACTTGTTATCTTTAATGATGTGGAGTTGATTCACAGACTTATAGTCATGATTCATGACTATACACAATCAATGGTCATCATCAATCCAACACCAGTCCTCTTCTTCTCTATTAATTTATACACATTTAATAAGGAAATTCATCATCATATTATTGATATTATTATGAATCACAAAACTTGAGGACAAAATTATTAAATATACATCAATATGCTTCAGCATGTTTTGCTATCATGAGATGGCCGTTTGTTGCACATTCTTAATTTGACAAAAATTGTTAAATGATGTATTTTGCATACATGCCATATTAGCCTTGGGGTATGGCTGGACTTCTCAGATAGTAAGTAGTTCTTTACCCATTAAAGCAGCATGAACTAACATAAGACATTGTCTATACTCACAATGTGTGTATTTATGAGTCCAGTGAACTGATCACAAAACTTATGGAAAGGGAGAATGTGTCTATCAGCTTGGGGGTATCCATTGTGAGAATATAAAGCAGAGGAGATTAAAAAAGGTTGACATTTTGTTACTCATCTACACTTGCTACCTGCTTGCTCCTGCTCCTCTCTTGTCACTTGTCAAAATGTATGACATTAGAATGTGTCCTTGAGAAAATAAGCACTAGATATCGCTGTGACCCTATCAATAATATTACCTATGATTTCATTTCATTTGTCATCCTCAGCTACACCATCACAATGAACTACTGTTTTGTATTAGCAGTCTTCCTGTTTAACCATATATTAGCTGGAGTGTGTGTTAACATTTTAAAATTTTTATATATTTGTCTAATTATAAAAGTACATAATCCCTCATATTTACTACCAGATAATGGCTAGAATTTAGATAATTTATGATGTGAATCTTAGACTTCCAGACCTATAGTCATGATCCACAGCTCCTACAGCACCAGCAGTCATCACTGATCCAATATCAGCCTTCCATGTTTCTATTAATATCTACATGGTTATTGGACAATAGAATACTACTGTTGATATAATCATGAGACAACAAAATATCTGAGAGTATACATTATATATCTATAATCTCATTCATAAGAACTTAGTAATTTAGCATTCATATGCTATATTATCATTTGTTCATGATTATTCTCCCAGATGACAATTGGGTTTCCTCAATTGTGTGAACAGTTTTTAAAAGACACCAAGACCAACACATGAAAACTGACTACTCACACAGTATATTCTCAACACAAAGAACAAATCATGAAGATCATGAGCAAGAATGGGGATATCTGGTTTGAAGTATCAATTCTGAGAGTACAAAGCAAAAGGTAGTTAAAACAAAAGATTGACATTCTTGTAACTCATCCATGCACTCTGCCTGTCATCCTTCTATTCTTATCACTCATAGAAGTTTGCAATATATTACTATGTGTTCCTTGTTAGAAAACTGTCATAGCTACCCTACCAAGAATGGTGCCTGTGGATTTTAGGTTATGTGACATGACAGTAACCAAGTCTCAATTTAAAAAAATGGTGTATATTTTAATAGTCTCACTGTGGAGTTAAATCTTGATTGAAAATTACACTAGTTATATATTTTTGCTCATATTTTATCTAATTTTAAAAATAGGCAATTCCTAACATCTGTTTCAAGATCATGGGTAGATGCTAACTATCATATGATGTAGACCTCAGACTCCCAGACCTGTAATCATGATCCACGGTCATACGGCACCAGCGGTCATGACAGATCCAACATCAGCCCTCCGCTTCTTGATTAATTTATGTACTTTTATTACTATTGAGATAATTACAAATCAGAAAGGGATACACATAGAAACATTGTATCAAAGGGCAGGAAAAAGAAAATTACTTTGCAGGGGTGTTTCAGGACAAGGTTCCACTGTATAGCCCTGACTGTCCTAGAACTTACTCTATAAACCAGGTTTACTTCAAAATCAGAGATCCACCAGCATCTGCCTCCTGAATGCTGTTATTAAAGACAAATAACACCATCCCTGAGTCATATTTACTTTTATTGACACTTTGTCTAATTGAAAAGGTAGGTTATTATTAGCATCACTATGATCATGGGTATATATTTAGTGTTTTATGAGGTGGATCTCAAACTCTCATACTTGCAGTCATGATATTCATCTCATATGCCATCAATGCTCATCATTTATCCTGCATTAGCCTTCCTGTTTTGTGTTAATTCATGTATGTTTATTGAGCAATCAATCACTCAAATTACTAAGATGATTATGAATCACAAAAATCTAAAGACAAGATCCTTGAGCATACTCAAAGGTCCTTGGGCTTTTTTGGCATGATGAGAGTCTCTTTCATTACACTTTCTTAATTTGATTAAATTTGTTAAACATTGGGTTTCATGAACAAGCTATATTAACCCTTTGGACACAACAAACTCTTCCAGGATGATACAGGGACAGGCATTAAAAGCAACACCAGAAAGAACACCGAATGTACTCACACTGTGTCCCAAACCAAAGAAGAATGTGTAGATCATTTTTGGAGGGAAATTCTTCCTAGGAGTACAAAGCAGAAGAGAATATGAAGACTGACATTCATTCACTCATCCATGCACTCTGTTTACTTGCTTTACCCATCTCTTATCACTCACATAATTATCCATTCTTGATGGAAAAACATGAATGACACAAGATTTTGACCCTACTGACAATATTGCCTATGATTCTACTTCATGTTGACTGAAGTATTTTACTGAAGTATTTTACTTTACATGTATTATTATACACATGTGGTGCAGTTATGTTTGAACTGGAATGTGCCTTAAAATTTATTTTTGATAACATTTTTATCCACTTAATAAAGTAGACTGTCACTCTTATCTTTACCAGAGTTGTGAGGGTAAGGTAGATATTTTATGATGTGGATCTCAGACTCCCAGACCTGTAATCATGATCCATGACTCATAAGCCACCACTGGTCATCACAGATCCAACATCATCCTTCCATTTGGCTATGGAATGAATACAGTGGACAGTCTGTAAAAGTAATCTAAACCAACACCTGACTGCAGACAATACTCACTCGGTGTCTATACTTTGATCATAAGTTTCACATCATGAAGCTCACAAGAAAAGGAGAATGTAGCAAATCAGCTTTGGGGATTCCATCCTGAGAGTACAGAGCAGAAGAGAATATAAAGAGATTGACATTCTGTTTACTTATTCATGCACTGTGTTGTCGCTCTTTTCTTATTACCTATATAAATGCTCATTATTGTATGATGTGTTCTTCTTAAGCAATCAAGTGGCCACAGTTCTGGCTCTACCAAGAACATGGCCAACGATGTTATCCTAAATTAAGAATCTGAACGAACTTCTGTGTTTGCCATGTATATTTAGTATTTTGCTGTGAAACTGGGCCTGAATTGGATATTGACTTAATCAATTTATTTATATTGTATCTAACTGCAAAAGTATACTGTTCCTATCTTCTGTTACTAATATCCTGAATCTGCTATTTCATGATGTGAACCTCAGACTCCCAGACCTGTAGTCACAGTAGATGAATCATATAGCTCCAGCACTCATCATCGACCCAACATCAGTCTTCCTCTTCTCTATTAATTTGTGCACTTTCATTGAGCAATTGATCACTAGTACTATCGAAATAATTATGAATCACAAAAACCTAATGATAAGATTCTTGAGCATACTTAAGAGCTCCTCGGGATATTGCAATGTTGAATATCTATTTTGTCATAAATTTTTAATTTGACAAAATATTATTAAACACTGTGTTCATGCACTTTGCACATTAATCATTTGGCAATGGCTTCTCATCTTAAATGATAAGTAGTCTTTATCAATACAGGAATAGCATGTCACAAAACCCCAAATCAAAACAAGGACACTGACTGTACACACACTGTGTATATGTTATGAACCCACAGTGTTAATCACAGAGCACACGACCAGTGGACAAGGTACACATCACATTGGGGGTATCCATCCTGATAGTACAAAGTAGATGAGATTGAAAAATTGATATTTTGTTTACTCAACAGTGGATTCTGTTTATCTTGCTTCTTTCTTCTTAGCCCTAATCTAGGTGTATATTAAACTAGTTTGTGTTCTTGAGAAAACAAATGGTCATGGTTCTGATACACAAGGATCATGGGTTTTAATTATAACTATATGGCAGCCAAAATAATGCTATCAGAACAAACTACTTTAGTATATATTAGTATTACTCCTGCTGTAGAGTTACACATTAATTAGTAAAGGCTTTACCAATTCTTAATCTGGAAAAAAATTTAAACATTGTGGTTCACCCACATGCTGTATTAACCCTTTGGTGGTGGCTACTCTTCTAAGATGTTAAGAGGGGTTTTCTAAATCATTATATGCACTGTCACTAAAAACAACATGAACCAATACAGGAGTGCTGGCTGTGCTCACACCGTGTCTATATTATGAATGCAAAGAGCTGAACATGAAGCTCACATCGGAGTGAGAATTTGAGAATCATTAGGGAAATTCATTCTGAGAGTATAAGGCAGAACATTGGCATCTGTTCACTCATCCATGCTCTCTGCTTGCTTGCCTTACTCCTCTCTTCTTATCACTCATTACACACACATTGCACTACTATATGTTCTTACTGACAAAACGAATAGCTATTATGCTGACTCTACTGGAACAATGCCTATAATCTTAACTCATGTGATAGACTCAGCTACCTCATCAGAATGAGTTATTATTTTGAAGTATGTTTAATACACTTACTAAATTAAGTGTTGATTATAAAATGGCATAGAAATGTATTTTATTTATATTTTATCTAACTGTAAATATAGATTACTCCTAATATTGGTCACTGAGATAATGAGGTTACACTAAGTATTCCATGTTATGGACCTCAGACCACTAGGTCTACAGTTGTGATTCACAACTCCTGCCACCAGTGGTCATCTCTTTACTATTAATCTCCAAATGGTTAATTAGATAATTATGAACCACATAATAATCTAAGGGCAAGATTTTTTCAGTATACAACTGGCTGCTATAGGATTTTTTTTCTCACATTGAGCATCTCTTAAGTTATACATTATTGATTTAGCAAAATTTTGTTAAACATCATGTTTATCCACATGCCATATTACCCACTTGATGGTGACTACTCTTCCAGATAGTAATTAGAGTTTTATCAATACACTCAGTTGTCTTTAAAAGTAATATAAACCAAGCAGGCGGACTGAATATGCTTACACAAAATCTACTCTACAGACACAATGGGCAGACTGTGAAGCTTTTGCACAAGGAAGAATGCATAGGTCAGGTAGGGGGTATCTGTTCTGAGTGTACATAGCAGAAGACCTATAAAACGACTCAGGTACTCTGCTTACAGACCCTTGCATTCTCTCTGCATTCTCTGCCCGTTTCTTCTTGTCACTCATCTGAGTGAGTGTTGCACTACAATGTGTTCTTTGTGAGAAAACAAACGGCTATGGCTCTGACCCTACCAAGTGGCCCCTTATTTCAATCTATACGGCAGCCTCAATCATCAAGTGTGAATTGGATTTGGTACTCTTTCTGTGGAATTATATCATCCTTGGAAAATGACTTGACAATTGACTGAACTAGGATAACATCACGTCCCACCTCCCTTAGCATCTACAACTAAGAAGATGAGTCTAAGCTACATATTTCATGACGTGACCCTCAGACTCCCAGACCTGCAGTCACGATCCATGACTCACATGCAACAAGTGGTCAATATTTATCCACATCGGCCCTATTCTTCTCTGTGGATTCATGAATATTTATTAAGCCACTGATCGCTAGTATCGTTTTGATTATGAATGATAAGTTCTCAGGACAAGATTCCTAAGTATACTCCAAAGGTCCTCAGAATCTTTTACTGTGATTAGAATATCTTGTTATACATTGTTATTCCTGGAAATTTAGTTGAACATAAACCACACGTGTGCCATATTAACCCTTGGGGAATGCCTGTCCTCAGATAAGTGGGGTTTTTGTCTGTATGTGCAGAGCAAATAAAAACAACATGAAGCAATAAAAGAGCATGGACTATACTCACATGGTATCTACATTCTGAACCCAACGAGTTCATCGTGAACAACATGAAGCAATAAAAGAGCATGGACTATACTCACATGGTATCTACATTCTGAACCCAACGAGTTCATCGTGAACAACATGAAGCAATAAAAGAGCATGGACTATACTCACATGGTATCTACATTCTGAACCCAACGAGTTCATCGTGAAGCTCACGACCAAGGGGGAGTTTGTAAGCAAACTTGGGGGAATCCATTCTGAGAGTATAAAGCAGAAGAGATAATAAAGATTTATACTGTGTCCACTCATCCATGCCTTCTGCTTGTCTTGTCCTCTTACACTTCATCCAAGTATGTGTTACACTAATACGTATGTTTCTTGAGAAAACGAATAGCCATGGCTATGAAATGGCTTTAATTATGATTCATATGGCATCTTTAGGCATATATTGGTGTACATTATTAGGACTATTCCTGTTAAGTTACATTTTAATTGGGATATACGCTACAGATTTGTATTTCTGTTTTAAACTAATTGTAAGAATAGACTAACACACTTAATTGCTTTCAGTGACTGTGGTATGAGCTAGATATTCTGATGTGGACCTCAGACTCAAGACTTTTAGTCATGATCCATGAATCATACACCACCACTGCTCATCATTGGTCCAACACCAGCCCTCCTCTTTTCTATTACTGTCTGGGTGTTTCTGACTAATCATTCATAATATTAAGAGAATCACAAACTCCTAATAGCAAGGTCCTTGAGTATCACTCAGACTGCTAGCAACATTTTGATAAACCTTGTGCTTCCCACACTTGCCATGTTAAGCATTTTGTCAAGATTAGCCCTCCATATTATAGGTAGTGCTCCATCACTAGCATGAGGAATGTGAAAACAAGCCAAAGCAAGACATGAACACTGACAATACCCACACGTTGTCTATCCTACGAACACATAGGCTGGATCAAGAGGTTGAGGTGCAAGTAAGACTGTGTAACGTCAGCTTGCAGGGCATCCACTCTGAAAGTATAGAACAGCAGGGGATATAGGAAGATTGACACTCTGTTCTCTTATCCATGCATGTGAGCTGCCTCTCTTGCCGGGTTCTTCTCATCCCTCATATAAGTGTCCATTATTCTATGAGATTTTCTTCTTATGGAAACAAATGGTCAAAGCTGTGCCCCTACAAATAACCCTGTCTACAATATTACTTAGTGTGACATCTTAGTCATCATTGGTGAATATACTACTGCATTTTGGTATATATAGGTTGTCTTTTTATGGAATTATGTCCTAATTGGTAAATGACTTACTAATGGTTGCTTACAGAATACTATATTATAATACTATATTACAATAATATCTATATTCATCTAATTATAAAAGTAAACTATTCCTTACATCTGTCGCCAAATCACGGAAAATACACTAGATAATTATGATGTGAACCTCAGAATCGCAGACATGTAGTCATAATTCACGACTCATATAGTACCCACAGTCATCACTGATCCAACATCAGCCTCCCCTTTTCTACCAGCTTGAATTTATTGAACAATCAATCATCATTAGTACTATTAAAACAATTCTGTCTCACAAAAAGTAAATACAAGATCCTTGATTACATCTTAAATGTCTCCAGGTTCTTTTGCAGTGGTAAGTAACTCTCTCACTGCATGTTCTCAACTTCACACTGTGTTTCATGCACAAGCCATATTAACCCTTTACAGCTGCTCTTCCTAGATGATAAGCAGTTCTTTAACACTACAGAGTCAGTTCTTAAAAGCAACACAAAGCAACAAAGAACACAGGCTATACTCACATGGTCTCTATCTTTCATATAAAAACAGCGAACATCAAAACACAGGACTAAGGAAGAACGTGTGAATCATCTTGGAGGTTTTCGTTCTGAGAGTATAAAGCAGAAGAAATTATAAAAAGATTGACATTCTGCTCACTTATCCATGCATTCTCTGCTTCTTTTGCTCATTCCCTCTTTTCCCTTACCCAAGTGCTCACTACTCTATGGTGTACTCTACTTAAGAAAACAAATGGCCAAAGCTCTAAACCTACCACAAATATTGTCAATGATATTAGCTCAGGGAGGTTCCTTAGTCATCATATCTGAATGAATTACTGTTTGGCACTTACATTTAGAATTATTTCAGTGGAATTATGCCTTAATTAGAAAATTACTTCCATATGTATTTTACTTATATTTTACCTAATTATGCCTAGCATTCATCACTCACATAATAGTACACACCAGATGTGTTATGATGTGAACCTCAGACTTCCAGACCTGTAGTCACAATCTATGACTCATACAGCACCCACAGTCATCATTGATCCAACATCAGCCTCTTCTTCTCTATTAATTTAGGCATACTTATTGAACAATTGATCACTGGGACTACTAAAATACTTTTAACTCACCCAGAGTAATATTCCAAGTTCTTTTGTATAGTTTGTAAGGATGAGAACCTTTTTCATTACATATCCTTAATCTGACAACATTTTATCATCTTTGTATTTTAACTACATAACACAGTCAACATTTGCCTTGGCTAGTCTTATTAATACAGTAAATGCCCTTTAGAAGCATCATCAAGCGGCATCAGAATGCAGACTATACTCACACTGTGTCTATATTACAGTCTGAAACAGCTCATTAGGAGGCTCATGACCAAGGGAGAGTGTGAAAATCAGCGTGGGGGCGGAATCCATTCTGAGAGTACAAAACAGAAGAGATCATTAAAAAAAAGTGACATTTTGTTCTCTCACTCATGTACTCTGCTTACAGGCATTAATGCCTCTTTTTTGTCACTCACCTAAGTGTGTACGACAGTGTCACATGCTCTGTTAAGAATAAAAACACTGTACACGCCTCTGACAATATAAAGAAGGTTGCACATAATATTCCTCAGTCATCCCTGTCTTCATGGGCTATTGTGCTCATGAATATATTAGCACCACATTTATTAGTATTTTTACTAATATATTATTAGTACATTGCTGTGGAATTATACCAAGCATTTGTTTTGCTTTTATTTTCCTGTGTGAGTATTTTTTTCTGCATGCATGCATGTGTATTGCATGAAGTAGGCAGTTGTGAGCTGCTATTTGAGTAACTGATCCCAAATTTGGTTGTATGCCAGGGCAGCAAGTACTTTTTATCTCCTGAGCCATCTCTCTAGCCCTGCCTAGTTGGTGAGTAACTTACCAAATTAATTTTGTTTTTTTTTGTCTATTTATAAAAGGTAATTCTTTGCATCGGTCACTAAGATTATGGGTATAGATTATATCTTGTAGGACAGTACTAGATTATGGTCACTCACACAACACAAATGGCACCCATGGTTATCATTCACTAAATACCATCAACTGTATTAATTTCTATAATTGTTTCTTGACTAATCCATCATTTTAGATGTAGAGCCCAGTGAGTTGCAAAGGCATACGAATGAGATCCTTAATGATGCTTCATAGTCAATTGGGCAACGTATTGATGCATTAAGTTTATGTCTTTCTAGACTGGTCGCTACTTATATATATATACAAATTAATAAAGATTATATCAGCAATGCTGAATTTAACAATCTGCGATTATGTACATAGTTATATTTTTGAAAGCACCAATTAATGGAATAAAAACTAGTCTATATGCTCTGGTCACAAACCTTGAGACCAAATCCAAATAAGAATGCAAATAATGCCCATGGAACATTCGTTCTGAGAGTACAAAGCAAAACAGATTAAAAGAAATTTAATGCACACGATTTTGCTCTGTCTTTACAGTGAAAATCTAGACAAAACCCTCCGAAGGACCAAGGTGTGTGGTGGGGGGCGAGTGGAGGAAGCCATGTGTGGGGGCCTCTGTTCATGTGTGCATACATGACCCATGTGTGCATGTGTGTGTGTGTTCACGATCATCTGCATAAGTGCACATGAAAAGGACGAGTGTCAACCTCACATGTCATTCTTCAGGAGCCCCCACCTTGTGTTTTTGACCCAACGTTTTTTATTGGCCTGTAGCTGGCTGCTGTCTCTTCCTCCCCAAGACTGAGTATAGCAATACACCTGGATTATATATTAAATCAAGGACTTCTCCCCAACCCACTTTAATTCTTCAAAGTCAAACAGCACTGGAGGATTCTTCTGCCATCTGCTCATTGTAGTTTTACATACTGTTCCTTTCTTCTCTTCCAATAATAGAGCAAATGCCTACAATGAACCATGAAGCCAGCAGCCATGAGCACAGATTTCAAGTCCATCTCAACAACAACAACAAAAATAAAATAAAATAAAAACTTGGACTGTATAGTAAGTAAGCTCACTGGCAAAGTCACAGAGTCATGTATTCACTTTCCTACAACTTCATAGCAGACAAAACCAGGAGAACCAAAGCTAGTCAATGCGACTGTCTAGCTACACACTCCCTGTTCAACAGGGGAAAACTAAATATTCTACATAGGTAGGAGGAAGTAGGATGCTGACACTGTCTGTCACTCATAAATATACATGGAGCCATCGGCAAACATATAGGTTCTTTATACCTGAAACTTCAAGGAAGAGCACAAAACTTTTAATACTATACTGTGTACAAATAAGTAAATAAACACAATAACCATTGCAAAACAATGAATGGTTCCGTTAATTTGTGTTTTCTAGAGTCGTATGGGACTGGCTCAACCATCTAACTTTCACAACAGAATGTCCTCACTGGCCTCCATGCTGTCTTCACTACTTGACATAACAATACGCTTTTTCTGTATTTATGATAGGGCCATTGTAGGAGGGATTCCACAGAAAAAGGACAAAACTAATGTCAGATATATCATATAGAGGATAGATGGATAAACAGATGTGGACAGATAAATATAAGCTATCAAATTACTTTCTTCTGTATTTTTTAAGCAATTCTTTTGGTGACTCAGTGTATCATCAGATTTATTTTAGTCTTGAAAATATTAACAAGCTATGTCCAGGATATTTCACATCTGTCATTAATTGGATGTCTCATTCTTGAGTAAATTATAATTCATTTAACAACAAGAAGAAACAGTCAAAGTAACACAAGAACATACCATACTTACATGGCAACCCGTGCTCCCAAGACCCTAGGCTAGCCACAGACGTCATGACGCAGATGAAAGATTAACTTCGGCTTTGGGTCATCCACAGAGATGGAAAGAAGAAAGTATTATAAACACAACCTTGTTCTATACCATGGCCATTGTATTGTATCTTTTTTATTTTACTCATCTAATTATTCTAAACTGACACATCCTTCTTGAGAAAAAAAAAAAAAAACAAGAGACCCAGACCTAACACAAACAAGAATTTTAGACACTGTTTTAAACAGCACATAGCATCCTCATCTAAAGGATTGTGACTCAGCAAATTAATTATTGTGGGTTTCTAAAATATACATATCCTGTTCATATTACTAGTTTCTATCATAGGAGAATGCTTTGTCCTCTTACCTTTATTACATATATTTTAAAGTAAGTATATGAATGGAATGGAAACTCATGAACATAAATATTATGATAACTCATTATATATGCTACACATGACATTTGAATCACAATCCCATACTACTTGGTATTATTTTGGAGAATGCATTGCCCTCTTATTATTATATTTTATTCTAATTGTATAAATGGAATGCAAACTGAACATAAATATTAGGATGACACACTATATATACTACACATGACATCTGTATCAAAATCTCACGCTACAGTGTTCTGGTGTGAACCTCAGACTCCCAGACCTGTAATCATGATCCCCGGATCATACATCATCAGTGGTCATCATTGATCCAACACCACCTCTTCCTTTCTCTTTCGCTTTCTATATTATTATTACCTATTTGTGTCACTTGTAATAGTTACATAACTCTTCATGAGAAGATCCTAGCACAAAATCCTGAGGTATTGAAGTAATTCTACAGATTTTGTGCAATCCTGAATCTCTGTATCTTAATTTTGGATTCCCTCAGCACTGTGTTCATGGTCAGGTTAAATTGACCTCACAGTCATAGTTGGCCTAACAGTAGTCTATGCATGACTTTACCAAGACAAGAGTGTCTTATCAAGGCCTCTCAAAGCAAAACAAGAACTTTGACTCCACTTACATCAGTTCTCTTAATCCTCACACATGGGGACCGGATAACCATGGACCTCCCAGCCAGGAAACAACGTGTCAGTCAGCATCCATCCAGGGAGAACGAAGCACGGAAGGTAATGACAAGATTGGTATTTTTCAAATGTTTTCCACATTTTCCCTCTCACTACTTTCTAGTTAGGATTCAAGTTGTTATGGTGGTTTCTTAGAGAGTCAAGTAAAAAGATTTAGAAGTGAGGTGTTGACCCTCACTGGGGCTTAATCCATTAATTATAATTCATATGCGAACTTGGATGAAATTTATACACATGCTTATGCCAAATATTTCTTAAAAGATTTGTAAATTTTCAGCATGTAGTAGTAGTATTTGTGGTAAAATATTTAATGTCTAATTGAGCAACGCCTCAATAAACTTATTTGCATTTGTGTGTATATTTATATCATGTTTCACTGATCCACTAAGGAAATGCATGAAAAGTGCCTGACTCTAATGTCCAGTTTGTGCCCCACATGCCTAACTTTTGTCGCCTGACTAAGAGGGGCACATGAGCTGTGTTATGCTGAGAACCTCAGACAGCAAGTAAGTAGTCATCGTCACTCCATGACTTATAATGCCGCCGATCCTGGTCATCATCGGTCCATACAAGCCTTTTCCTATCTAGTAATATGTACATGTTTGTTGTTTAACAATAAGGTGCCTATGATTTTGTTTTTCAGGATAACTGAATCCTTTTTTTTCTTTTTGGTTCTTGGAGACAGGGTTTCTCTGTATTGTTTTGGAGGCTGTCCTGGAACTCACTCTGTAAACCAGGCAGGCCTCGAACTCACAGAGATCCGCCTGCCTATGCCTCCCAAGTGCTGGGATTAAAGGCGTGCGCCACCAACGCCCGGCTAATGACTGAATCCTTTATGCAGATACATTCTATACTCTCTATAAGAGCATAGAGCATCCCATTGAGGAATGGAGACAACAATTTTGAATATTACTCACACTGATTTGGGTCTTCTGTAAACATGGAGATTAAGTGCAGAGTTTGAGCGAGGCCCAGTGTTTAAAGCAGACCAAAGCCATTGCATCTGAGGGATGAGCACTGTGGATGATGAAAATTTAGTGACTTAACTCATACTGGTTTTGTAGAATTCTGTAGATGTTTGTGAATCTATGATAATAGCTTCATATTTTCATTTAATAAAATTTAAGTCTTTGTGTCTGGTTCATTTGAGCTTGCAATGAGTTGTGCAACATTTTTATAATGAAATTTCAAGAGATTCAGAATGCCAATTTTTCTTCCCTTTAAGTACTAAAGTGAAGACCAAGGATGAATTTAGAAATCAGTAGCTATGAGGCAAATTTCAGGATACAGAACTCAGAGAGATAAGCATCCATTCCTGGATTGCCTGAACATTACAGGTGTTTATGTGTCCATTCTGAGAAGTAAAAACAAGTACAAGGACAGAAATATTGAATGAATGGATCGATAGAGGCTCATTCCAGACTCAGATTTTTATATCCAAGTCAGTTCAACAAATACTGATTGGGACTAACCTTGTGTTGGAGCACTGTGTAAGCTCACTGGCAAAGTCACTGACTAAATTATTAACTTTCCTACAACTGAACATCAAACAAAAGCATGAGAAGCAACACTGGCCCATGTGTGTGTATCACTACATCCTCAGGTCACCAGGGACAGCTAAATATTCTGAGGAAACTACGTAGAAGGGAGTACATCCTGACTCAGTCTCTCCAGCTGTCTGTCAAATATACATGGAACCATCTGTAAGCACATGGGTTCTTCATCCGCGAAACTTCAAGGAGCAGCCCAAATTGTGCAATATTACAGTGTGTCTAAATAAATAGATGTGAAAGGCATTGAAACCCATGAATGGTTCAGAGTATTTGCATTTTCTTGAGAGTCATCCACTTTAGTTTAAATTCTTGACACAAGAATATTTTTCTATATTTATGATAGGGCCATTACACTTGAGGTTCCACAAACGAAAAATAATTAGTATCAGATGATAGAGATGATAGAAAGATAGAAGGATTGAAAGAGAAATGATACATAGGTAGGTAGATAGATAGATAGATAGAAAAATTCACAGATGATGGATAGATTGATTCACAGATGGATGGATAGATAGATAGATAGGTACATAGATAGATACAAAGATAGATAAAAGCTATCATATAATCTTCTGTATGTTTTAGAGCAATTGTTTGGTGATTCATATATCATCTGAATTAATAATAAGATATTAATAAAGTTGATTCCAGATATTTCAAATCTGTCATTAACAGGGGTTTCAGTCGTGAATAATTTGACATCACGTATTAATAAAGAAAAAAGTGAAAGTAACACAAGAACATGAAACATACATGTATGGCCCCCCTATGCTCCTAACACCCCAGGATAGCCATGGACATCATGATGAAGTTGGAAGGCTAACTTCAGCTTGGGAACATCCAGAGATGATAAGAAGAGAGGATTATGAACACAATAAAGTTATATACAATGGCACTTGTATTATTTTTTGTGTAACTCATCTAAGTATTTAAAACTATGATGCATTCTTCTTCAGAAAATACTAAGGAAACATAGTACAAACGCTAACAAGAATGCTGGCCACTATTTTAAACAGCACACAGCATCAGAAGTAAGGGATGGCAACTCCGCACATCAATTATTGTGGGTTTCTGAATTATATGTGTATATACACAAATACATATACAGATACACATACCTATGATATACATGTATCGTGTTCATATTAACAGTTTCCATTATTTTGGAGACTGCTTTGTCTTCTTTCATTCATTAATTTTATTTTAATCTAATTATATGAATGGAATGAAAACTCTCGAAAATAAATATTCTTATAACAAACTATATATACTACGCATAACATCTGTAAGACAATCTCACGCTACATGTGTAATGGTATGTACCTCAGACTCCCAGACCTATAGTCATGATCCCCGGATCATACATCATCACTGGTCATCATTGATGCAACACCACTTCTTCTTTCTCTTTCGCTTTCTATTTTATTAGTAAATGACTATTTGTGTCACTTGTAATAGTTACATAACTCTTCATCAAAAAATCCTATCATAAAATCGTGAGATATTGAAGTAATTCTACAGATTTTGTGCAAACCTGAATCTCTGTCTCTTAATTTTGGATTCCCTCAGCACTGTGTTCATGGTCAGGTTAAATTGACCTCACAGTCATAGTTGACTTAACAGGAGTCTATGCATGACTCTACCAAGACAAGAGTGTCTTATCAAGGCCTCTCAAAGCAATACATGAACTTTGACTCCACTTACATCAGTTCTCTTTATCCTCACACATGGGGACCGGATAACCATGGACCTCCCAGCCAGGGAAACAATGTGTCACTCAGCATCCATCCAGGGAGAAGGAAACATGGAAGGTAATAAAAAGATAATAATTTTTCAAGTCAATTCCACATTTACCTATCGCTACTTGCCAGTTAGGATTCAAACTGTTGATAGTGTCTTAAAGGAGCAAATAAGATTTAAAATTGAGGTGCTGGCCACCACTGTGGCTTAATGCATTAATTATACGTCACATGTGGACTTGGAGGAAATTTATATGCATGATTATGTCAATTATTGCTTGAGGGACTTCCAGATTTCCTGAATGTAGTACTGCCATTTGTGGTCCAATATTTAATTTCTAAGTAATCTATGCCTCAAGAAATGGATATATATCTATATGTATGTTTATAAGATGCTTCATTGATCCACTATGGAAATGCATGGAAGTGCCTGATTCTAATGTCCAGTATGTGCCCCACATGCCTCACTTTTGTCACCTGACTAAGAGGGCCCATGAGCTGTGTTATGCTGAGAACCTCAGACACCAAGTATGTAGTCATCGTCAATCCATGACTTATAACGCCGCCGAGCTTTAGTCATCATCGGTCCATCCTAGCCTTTCTCTTCTCGAGTACTATGTGCATGTTTGTTGTTTAACTGTAAAAGTACCTATGATTTTCTTTTGTTTTCAGGATAAGTGAATCCTTTATGCAGATGCATTATATACTCTGTAAGAGCATAGAGCATCCAATTGAGGAATAGAGACAACAATTTTGAATATTACTCACACAGATTTGGTCTTTTGTAAACACGGTGATTAAGTGCAGAGTTTGAGCGTGGTCCAGTGTTTTAAGCAGACCAAAGCCATTGCTTCCCAGGGATGAGCACTGTGGATGATGAAAATTTAATGACTTAACTCATGTAAGCTGTGTAAAACTTTTTCTGTGTATGTTCGTGAATCTGTGGTAATAGCTATATGTGTTCTCACTTAATGTAATTTAAGTATTTTTGTCTGGTTCATTTCAGTGTGCAATGATTTTTGAAAATTTTAATTTCATTTCTTGTGATTTTATTTGTTTTGTTTTCGTGACAAGGTTTCTTAGGAGCCTGTTCTGGCACTTGGTTTGGAGATCAGGCTAACCTGGAACTCACAGAGATGTGCCTGTCTCTGACCTGAGTGCCAAGGTAAAGATGTGCACCACCACTGTCCCAATTAATCTTCATGATTATGTTTGAAAAGCTTAAGGATATCAACATTTATTTCCTTTAAGTACTAAAGTAGATACCCATGCTGAACTATGAAGGCAGCAGTTATGAGCACAGATTTCAGGATCTAAGACTGAGAGATAACCACACATTCCTGGATTGCCTGAGCGTCACAGGTGTTTGTGTGTCTGTTCTGAGTAGTAAAAACCAGTAAAAACAAAAAGGAAAAACAGAAGTATTAAATGAGGGGATAGATAGTGAGGCTCAGTCTAGGCTCAGATTTTTATAGCCAGGTAAACTCAACAAAATTTGATTGGGAATAAGCTTGTTAAGGAAGCTCACTGACAAAGCCATTGAGACACTTAACAAACTTTCCTGCAACTGAACATCAGACAAAACCATGAGAACCAAGAGTGGACCATGGGTGTATCTAGGTACACACTCCCTGATCAACAAGGAACAACTAAATCTTCTGAGTGGACCTAGGCAAAAGAAATTAGATCCTGAAACAGTCTCCCCAACTGTCTGTCGATCATAAATACATGTGAAGCCGTCTGAATGTATACAGGATATTTTATGCCTGAAACTTGAAAGAACACGTAAACATTGTAAACTATGGTGTGTCTGAATACATAAATACAAATACCAAGGAAAATGGCTAAATTTATTTGCATTTCCCAGAGTGTCATATAGGACTTGACGAACCATCCTGTCCAGCCTGCACTAGGCTCCACTTTGAATTTCTTAACTGAGATAACAATATACGTTTTCTATTTATAAGACAGGGTCATTATACCTGTAATTCAACAGGAAAATGTCAGCATTAATGTCAGAATATATCATATAGACAATAGGTACTTAGACACATGTAGAGCAATGAGAGATAAAGTAAAGATATATGTTGGATAAGTGAATAGATAGATGATAGATGATGGATAGATAGATAGATAGACGGATGTAGTTTCATAAAAACAGATAAATTTAAGGCATCAAATTATATTGTGTACATTTCACTGCAATTCTTTAATCATGCTGTGTGTCATCCTATCTTTTTAATCTTAAAGTTATTAAGATTAAATTTTTCACCTGTCACTAACCAGCTGGGTCATTCTTGACAAATTTGTTATTCATTTTACAATAGAAGAAGCAGACAGAGGAAGACAAGAACGATTTTACTCACATGGCCTCCTGAGCTCCCAAGACCCAAGGCTAGTCATGGACATCGTGATGTAGATAGAAGCGAGCCTTACTCTTGGGAACACCCAGGAGATGAAGAGGAAAAAAAGGATTATAAACACAGTCGTGGACTATACACGTTTCATAATTAGTTTTTATTTTGCTCATCTAAGTATCTAAAACTATAATAAATTCTTATTGAGAACATACAAACGAACCTGGTTCTAACCCTAACAAGAATTTTGGCCATTATTGTGAACATCACACAGCATTCTCAACTAACGGATTGCAATTCCACACATTAATTACTGAACCGTGTATATATATATATATATATATATATATATATATATATATGGTCCAGAAGACATATATACATATGTATATAAATATATATATATACTATTCATATAACTAGTTTTTTATCATACAGAATGCTTTGTGCTCTTTCATTTTTTACATATATTTTAATATAATTATATGAATGGAATGTAAACTGATGAACATAAATATTATGGTAACAAGCTAAATATACTACCCAAGATATCTGTTGCACAATCTCACACTACATGTGTTCTGGTGTGAACCTCAGACTCCCAGACTGTAGTCATGATCCCTGAAACATACATCATGAGTGGTCTTCATTTATTCAACACCACCTCTTCCTTTCTCTTTCACTTTCTATGTCATTATTACCTAACTATTTATGTCATTTGTAACAGTTACATAATTCTTCACCACAAAATCTGGAAGGATTGACATGATTCTACAGATTTTGTGCCACACTGACTCTCTGTCTCTTCTCTTAATTTTGGAATTCCTCAGCACTGAATTCCTGGCCATGTTAAATTGACCTCACAGTCATAGTTGGCCTAACAGGAGCCTGTGCATGCCTTTACCAAGACAGGAGTGTCTTATCAAGGCCTCTCAAAGCAAAACAAGAACTTTGACTCCACTTACATCAGTTCTCTTAATCTTCACACATGGGGACCGGATAACCATGGACCTCCCAGCCAGGAAACAACGTGTCAGTCAGCATCCATCCAGGGAGAACAGAGCACGGAAGGTAAAGAAAAGATTGGAATTTTTCAAATGCTTTCCACATGTTCCCTCTCACTACTTGCTAGTTAGGATTCAAACTGTTGATAGTGTCTTAAAGGAGCAAATAAGATTTAAAATTGAGGTGCTGGCCACCACTGTGGCTTAATGCATTAATTATACGTCACATGTGGACTTGGAGGAAATTTATATGCATGATTATATCAATCATTGCTTAACAGACTTCCAGATTTCCTGAATGTAGTAATGCCATTTGTGGTCCAATATTTAATTTCTAAGTAATCTATGCCTCAAGAAATGGATATATATCTATATGTATGTTTATAAGATGCTTCATTGATCCACTATGGAAATGCATGGAAGTGCCTGATTCTAATGTCCAGTATGTGCCCCACATGCCTCACTTTTGTCACCTGACTAAGAGGGCCCATGAGCTGTGTTATGCTGAGAACCTCAGACACCAAGTATGTAGTCATCGTCAATCCATGACTTATAACGCCGCCGAGCATTAGTCATCATCGGTCCATCCTAGCCTTTCTCTTCTCGAGTACTATGTGCATGTTTGTTGTTTAACTGTAAAAGTACCTATGATTTTCTTTTGTTTTCAGGATAAGTGAATCCTTTATGCAGATGCATTATATACTCTGTAAGAGCATAGAGCATCCCATTGAGGAACAGAGACAACAATTTTGAATATTACTCACACAGATTTGGGTCTTCTGTAAACACAGAGATAAGTGCAGAGTTTGAGCGTGGTCCAGTGTTTTAAGCAGACCAAAGCCATTGCTTCCCAGGGATGAGCACTGTGGATGATGAAAATTTAACAGCTTAACTCATGTAAGCTGTGTAAAACTTTTCTGTGTATGTTTGTGAATCTGTGGTAACATCTATATGTGTTTTCACTTAATGTAATATAAGCATTTTTGTCTGCTTCATTTTAGTGTGCAATGATTTTTGAACATTTTAATTTCATTTTATGTTTTTTTGTTTTGTTTTTGTGACAAGGTTTCTCGGTGTACCGTAGGAGCCTGTTCTGGCACTTAGTTTGGAGATCAAGCTAACCTGGAACTCACAGAGATGTGCCTGTCTCTGACCGGAGTGCTAGGGTAAAGATATGCTCCACCACTGTCCCGATTAAATTTCATGATTATGTTTGAGGAACTTAAGGATACTAATGTTTATTTCCTTTAAATACTAAAGTAGAAACCTCGGCTGAACTGTGAAGGCAGCAGTTATGAGCACAGATTTCAGGATCTAAGTCTGAGAGATAACCACACATTCCTGGATTGCCTGAGCATCACAGGTGTTTGTGTGTCTGTTCTGAGTAGTAAAAACCAGTAAAAACAAAAAGGAAAAACAGAAGTATTAAATGAGGGGATAGATAGCGAGGCTCAGTCTAGACTCAGATTGTTATAGCCAGGTAAACTCAACAAAATTTGATTGGGAATAAGCTTGTTAAGAAAGCTCACTGACAAAGCCATTGAGAAACTTAACAAACTTTCCTGCAACTGAACATCAGACAAAACCATGAGAACCAAGAGTGGACCATGGGTGTGTCTAGGTACACACTCCCTGATCAACAAGGAACAACTAAATCTTCTGAGTGGACCTAAGCAGAAAAAATAGATCCTGAAACAGTCTCCCCAACTGTCTGTCAATCATAAATACATGTGAAGCCAGCTGAATGCATACAGGATACTTTATCCCTGAAACTTGAAAGAACGCATAAACACTGTAAACTATGGTGTGCCTGAATGCATAAATTACAAACACCAAGGAAAATGATAAATGGCTAAATTTATTTGCATTTCCCAGAGTGCCATATGGGACTGGACCAACCATCCCCCTGCCTCACAATAAAACTGCACTAGACTCCAATTTGAATTCCTTAACAGAGATAACAATATACTTTTTCTACATACATGACAGGGTAATTACACGTGTAAATCCGTAGGAAAATATCAGCATTAATGTCAGAATATATCATATAGACAATAGGTAGTTAGACACATGTAGACCGATGAGAGATACAGTAAAAATATAAGATGGATAAGTGAATAGACTGAGGATGGATAGATAGATAGATAGATAGATAGATAGATAGACTGACAGACAGACAGATGTAGTTTCATAAGAACATATTAATATAAGGCATCAAGTTATATTGTTGTGTACATTTCACTGCAATTCTTTAATCATGCAGTGTGTCATCCTATCTTTTTAATCTTAAAGTTATTAAGTTTAAATTTTTCACCTGTCACTAACCAGCTGGGTCATTCTTGACAAATTTGTTATTCATTTCACAATAGGAAAAAGCAGACAGAGGAAGACAAGAACACTAATTTACTCACATGGCCTCCTGTGCTTCCAAGACCCTAGGCTAGTTGTGGACATCGTGATGCAGATAGAAGCGTGACTTCCTCTTGGGAACACCCACAGAGATGAAGAAGAATAAAAGGATTATGAACACAGTCTGGCACTATACAATAGCCGTTTCATAATTTGTTTTTATTTTGCTCATCTAAGTATCTAAAACTATAATAAATTCTTATTGAGGCCATAAAAAGGAAACCTGATTCTAAACCTAACAAGAATTTTGGCCACTATTATAAACAGCACACAGCATTCTCAACTAAGGGATTGCAACTCCACACATTAATTACTGAACCATATATATACATGGTTCAGAATACAAATATATGTATATATATACTTTTCATATAACTAGTTTTTTATCATACAGAATGCTCTGTCCTCTTTCATTTATTGCATATATTTTAATCTAACTATATGAATGGGATGTAAACTGATGAACATAAATATTATGATAACATGCTGAATATACTACACAAGACATCTGTTGCACAATCTCACACTACATGTGTTCTGGTGTGAACCTCAGACTCCCAGACTGTAGTCATGATCCCTGAAACATACATCATGAGTGGTCTTCATTGATCCAACACCACCTCTTCCTTTCTCTTTCGCTTTCTATGTTATTATTACCTAACTATTTGTGTCACTTGTAATAGTTACATAACTCTTCATCACAAAATCCGGGAGGATTGACATGATTCTACAGATTTTGTGCCACACTGACTCTCTGTCTCTTCTCTTAATTTTGGAATTCCTCAGCCCTGTCTTCCTGGCCATGTTAAATTGACCTCACAGTCATAGTTGGCCTAACAGGAGCCTGTGCATGCCTTTACCAAGACAGGAGTGTCTTATCAAGGCCTCTCAAAGCAAAACAAGAACTTCGATTCCACTTACATCAGCTCTCTTAATCTTCACACATGGGCACAGGGCAACCATGGACCTCCCAGCCAGGAAAACAACGTGTCACTCAGCATCCATCCAGGGAGAGCAAAGCACAGAAAGTAATAAAAAGATTGGAATTTTTAAATGCTTTCCACATTTTCCATCTCACTACTTGCTAGTTAGGATTCAAACTGTTGATAGTGTCTTAAAGAAGGAAGTAATATTTAAAATTGAGGTGTTGGCCACCACTGTGGCTTAATGCATTAATTATACGTCACATGTGGACTTGGAGGAAATACATATGCATGATTATGTCAATTATTGTTTAACAGACTTCCAGATTTCCTGAATGTGGTAATGCCATTTGTGGTCCAATATTTAATTCCTAAGTAATCTATGCCTCAATAAATGGATATATATCTATATGTATGTTTATATGATACTTCAGTGATCCACTAAGGAAATGCATGGAAGTGCCTGATTCTAATGTCCAGTATGTGCCCCACATGCCTCACTTTTGTCACCTGACTAAGAGGGGCACATGAGCTGTGTTATGCTGAGAACCTCAGACACCAAGTATGTAGTCATCGTCAATCCATGACTTATAACGCCGCCGAGCATTAGTCATCATCGGTCCATCCTAGCCTTTCTCTTCTCGAGTACTATGTGCATGTTTGTTGTTTAACTGTAAAAGTGCCTATGTTTTTCTTTTGTTTTCAGGATAAGTGAATCCTTTATGCAGATGCATATATACTCTGTAAGAGCATAGAGCATCCCATTGAGGAATAGAGACAACAATTTTGAATATTACTCACACAGATTTGAGTCTTCTGTAAACACGGAGATTAAGTGCAGTGTTTGATCGTGGGCCAGTGTTTTAAGGAGACCAAAGCCATTGCTTCCAAGGGATAAGCACTGTGGATGATGAAAATTTAATCGCTTAACTCATGTAAGCATTTCAAACTTTTCTGTGTGTATTGTGTATCTGTGGCAATAGCTATGTGTGTTTTCACTTAATGTAATTTAGGCATTTGTGTCTGGTTCACTTTGGTGTGCAATGATTTTTGAAAATTTTAATTTCTTTTTTTGCGGTTTTTTTGTTTGGTTCGTGACAAGCTATCTCTGTATACCTAACGCGCCTGTTCTGGCACTAGGATTGGGGATCAGGGTGACCTGGAAAAAACACAGATGTGCCTGTCACTGACCTGAGTGCTAGGGTAATTATGTACACTACCAATGCCATGGTTAATTTTTATGATTATGTTTGAAAAACTTAAGGATATCAACATTTATTTCCTTTAAGTACTAAAGTAGAGGCCCATGCTGAAATGTGAAGGCAGCAGTTATGAGCACAGATTTCAGGATCTAAGTCTGAGAGATAACCACACATTCCTGGATTGCCTGAGCGTCACAGGTGTTTGTGTGTCTGTTCTGAGTAGTAAAACCAGTAAAAACAAAAAGGAAAAACAGAAGTATTAAATGAGGGGATAGATAGCGAGGCTCAGTCTAGACTCAGATTTTTATAGCCAGGTAAACTCAACAAAATTTGATTGGGAATAAGCTTGTTAAGGAAGCTCACTGACAAAGCCATTGAGGCACTTAACAAACTTTCCTACAACAGAACATCAGACAAACCATGAGAACCAAGAGTGGACATGGGTGTGTCTAGCTACACACTCCCTGATCAACAAGGAACAACTAAATCTTCTGAGTGGACCAAGGCAAAAGTAAATAATCCTGAAACAGTCTCCCCAACTGTCTGTCGATCATAAATACATGTGAAGCCAGCTGAATGCATACAGGATACTTTATCCCTGATACTTGAAAGAACACATAAACACTGTAAATTATGTCTAAATACATAAATACAAACAGGCAGAAAATGATGAATGCCTAAATTTAATTGCATTTCCCAGAGTGTCATATGGGACTGGACCAACCATCCCCCTGCCTCGCAATAAGCCTGCACTAGCCTCCACTTTGAATTCCTTAACTGAGATAACAATATACTTTTTCTATATACATGACAGGGTCAATACTCCTGTAATTCCACAGGAATTGTCAGCATTCATGTCAGATTATATCATATAGATATAGGTAGTTAGACACATATAGAGCTATGAGACATAAATTAAAGATACATGATGGATAAGTGAATAGAAAGATGATGTATTATGGATGGATTCATAGATAGACAGATAGATGTAGTTTGATAAGACCCAATGAATTTAAGGAATTAAATTATATTGTTGTGCACATTTCATTGCAATTCTTTAATCATGCAGTGTGTCATCCTATCTTTTTAATCTTAAAGTTATTAAGATTAAATTTTTCATCTGTCACTAACCAGCTGGGTAATTCTTGAAAAATTTGTGATTACTTATACAACAGGAAGAAGCAGACAGAGGAAGACAAGAACACTAATTTACTCACATGGCCTCCTGAGCTCTCAAGACCCTAGGCTAGTCGTGAACATCATGATGCAGATGGAAACATGCCTTCCTCTTGGGAACACCCACAGAGATAAAGAGGGAAAAAAAGTATTATAAACACAGTCTTGCTCTATACAATGGCCCCTGTACATTTTTTTTATTTTACTCATCTAAGTATTTAAAACTATAATAAATTCTTACTGAGAACATACAAAGGAAACCTGGTTCTAACCCTAACAAGAATGTTGGCCACTATTATACACATTACACAGCATTCTCAGGTAAGGGATTCCTAATCCAGACATTAGTTTCTGAACCATATATATATATGGTTCAGAATACAAACATATATATATATATATATGTATATACTATTGATATAACTAGCTTTTTTATTATAAAGAATGCTTTGTCCTCTTTCATTATATAAATATAATTATATAATTATATGAATAAAATGAAAATTGATGAAAATAAATATTTTGATAACAAACTACATATACTACACATGACATCTGTGACACAATCTCACACTACATATTTTCTAGTGTGAACCTCACACTCCCAGACTGTAGTCATGATTCCCGGATCACACATCATGAGTGGTCATCATTTATTCAACACCACCTCTTCCTTTCTCTTTCGCTTTCTATGTTATTATTACCTAACTATTTGTGTCACTTGTGATAGCTACATAGTTTTTAACCACAAGATCCCAGAACAAAATCCTGCTGTATTGATGTAATTCTAGAGATTTTGTGTCACTCTGACTATCTGCCTCTTCTCTTAATTTTGGATTCCCTCAGCACTGTGTTCTTGATCATGTTAAATTGACCTCACAGCCATAGTTGACCTAAAAGGAATCTATGCATAACTTCACCAAGACAGGAGTGTCTTATCAAGGCCTCTCAAAGCAAAACAAGAACTTTGACTCCACTTACATCAATTCTCTTAATCCTCACACATGGGGACAGGGCAACCATGGACCTCCCAGCCAGGAAACAACGTGTCACTCAGCATCCATCCAGGGAGAGCAAAGCACAGAAAGTAATAAAAAGATTGGAATTTTTCACGTCCTTTCTATTTTTTCCCTCTCACTACTTGCTACGTAGGATTCAAATTGTTGGTAGTGTCTTAAAGAAGAAAGTAAGATTTAAAATTGATGTGTTGACCACCACTGTGGCTTAATGCATTAATTATATGTCATTTGTGGACTTGGTTGAAGTTTATATTCATCTTTATGTCAATTATATCTTAAATGACTTCCAGATTTCCTGAATGTAGTAATGCCATTTGTGATCCAATATTTAATTCCTAAGTAATCTATGCCTCAATAAATGGATATATATCTATATGTATGTTTATATGATGCTTCATTGATCCACTATGGAAATGCATGGAAGTGCCTGATTCTAATGTCCAGTATGTGCCCCACATGCCTCACTTTTGTCACCTGACTAAGAGGGGCACATGAGCTGTGTTATGCTGAGAACCTCAGACACCAAGTATGTAGTCATCGTCAATCCATGACTTATAACGCCGCCGAGCATTAGTCATCATCGGTCCATCCTAGCCTGTCTCTTCTCGAGTACTATGTGCATGTTTGTTGTTTAACTGTAAAAGTGCCTGTTATTTTCTTTTGTTTTCAGGATAAGTGAATCCTTTATGCAGATGCATTATATACTCTGTAAGAGCATAGAGCATCCCATTGAGGAATAGAGACAACAATTTTGAATATTACTCACACAGATTTGGGTCTTCTGTAAACACGAAGATTAAGTGCAGAATTTGAGCGTGGTCCAGTGTTTTAAGCAGACCAAAGCCATTGCTTCTGAGGGATGAGCACTGTGGATGATGAAAATTTATAGACTTCACTCATGTAAGCTGTATAAATCTTTTTCTGTGCATGCTTGTGAATCTGCTATATGTGTTTTCACTTAATGTAATTCAAGCCTTTGTGTCTGGTTCATTCTAGGGAGCAATGATATTTGAAAATTTTAACTTAATATTTTGTGTTTTCTTGTTTTGTTTTTGTGACAAAGTTCTGTGTACCTTAGGAGCCTGTTGTGGCACTTGGTTTGGAGATCTGGCTGACTTGGAACTCACAAAGATGTTCCTGTCTCTGCCCTGAGAGCTGTGGTAAAGATGTGTACCAAAACTGACCCAATTAATTTTCATGATTATGTTTGAAAAACTTTAGGATATCAGCATTTATTTCCTTTAAGTACTAAAGTAGATACCCATGCAGAACTGTGAAGGCAGCAGTTTTGAGCACAGATTTCAGGATCTAAGACTGAGAGATAACCACACATTCCTGGATTGCCTGAGCATCACAGGTGTTTGTGTGTCTGTTCTGAGTAATAAAACCAGTAAAAACAAAAAGGAAAAACAGAAGTATTAAATGAGGGGATAGATAGCGAGGCTCAGTCTAGACTCAGATTGTTATAGCCAGGTAAACTCAACAAAATTTGATTGGGAATAAGCTTGTTAAGGAAGCTCACTGACAAAGCCATTGAGGCACTTAACAAACTTTCCTGCAACTGAACATCAGACAAAACCATGAGAAACAAGATTGCACAATGTGTTTGTCTAGCTACACACTCCCTGTTCATTAAGGAAAACTAAATCTTCTGAGTGGACCTAGGCAAAAGAAATTAGATCCTGAAACAGACTCCCCAACTGTCTGTCGATCATAAATACATGTGAAGCCGGCTGAATGCCTACAGGATAATTTATCCCTAAACACTGTAAACTATGGTGTGTCTAAATACATAATACATAAATATAAAAAGGAAGAAAATGATGATTGGCTAAATTTAATTGCATTTCCCAGAGTGTCATATAGGAATGGACCAACCTGTACTAGCCTCTACTTTGAATTCTTAACTGAGATAACAATACACTTATTCTGTGTATATGATAGGGTCATTACACCTTAATTCCATAGAAAATGCCATCATTATTGTCAGATTATATCATATAGACAATAGGTAGTTAGACATGTAGAGCGATGAGAGATAAAGTAAAGATATATGATGGATAAGTGAATAGATAGATGATAGATAGATAGATAGATAGATAGACAGATATAGTTTCATAAGAACAGATTAATATAAGACATCAAGTTATATTGTTGTGTACATTTCACTGCAATTCTTTAATCATGCAGTGTGTCATCCTACCTTTTTAATCCTAAAGTTATTAAGATGAAATTTTTCACCTGTCACTAACCAGCTGGGTCATTCTTGACAAATTTGTGATTCATTTCACAATAGGAAGAAGCAGACAGAGGAAGACAAGAACACATTTTACTCACATGGCCTCCCGAGCTCCATGACACTAAGCCAGTCATGGACCTCATGATGCAGTTGGAAGCATGCGTTCTTGTTGGGAACACCCACAGAGATGAAGAGGAAAAAAGGATTATGAACACAGTCTTGCTCCATACAATGGCCCTTGTATAATTTTTTAATTTTGCACCTCCAAGTAGCTAAAATTATAATAAATTCTTGTTGAGAACATACCAAGGAAACTTGGTTCCAACCCTAACAATAACAAGAATGTTTGCCACTATTATAAAGAGCACACAGCATCCTCAGCTAAGGGATTGCCACATAACACATTAATTACTGAACCATATATGTATGGTTCAGAATATATATACTTACATACATAAAAATATATATATATAATTTTCATATAAGTAGTTTTTTTTATTTTGGAGAATGCTTTGTCCTCTTTCATTTATTACATATATTTTAATCTAATTATATGAATGGATTGTAAACTGATGAACATAAATATTATGATAACAAGCTGAATATACTACACAAGACATCTGTTGCACAATCTCACACTACATGTGTTCTGGTGTGAACCTCAGACACCCAGACCTGTAGTCATGATCCCCGGATCATACATCATCAGTGGTCATCAATGATCTAACACCACCTCTTCCTTCTCTTTCGCTTTCTATGTTATTATTACCTAGCTATTAGTGTCACTTGTAACAGTTACATGACTCTTCATCACAAGTTCCTAGCACAAAATCCGGAGGAATTGACATGATTCTATAGATTTTGTGCCACCCTAACTCTATGTTTCTAATCTCAATTTTGGACTCCCTCAGCACTGTGTTCCGGGTCATGTTAAATTGACCTCACAGTCACAGTTGGCCTAACAGAAGCCAGTGCATGCCTTTACCAAGACAGGAGTGTCTTATCAAGGCCTCTCAAAGCAAAACAAGAACTTTGACTCCACTTACATCAGTTCTCTTAATCCTCACACATAGGGACAGGGCAACCATGGATCTCTCAGCCAGGAAAACAATGTGTCACTCAGTATCCATACATGGAAAAAGAAGCACAAAAAGCAATAAAAAAATTGGAATTTTTCAAATCCTTTGTACATTTTCCATCTCACTACTTGCTAGTTAGGATTCAAACTGTTGATAGTGTCTTAAAGAGACAAGTAAGATTTAAAATTGAGGTGTTGGCCACCACTGTGGCTTAATGCATTAATTATACGTCACATGTGGACTTGGAGGAAATACATATGCATGATTAAGTCAATCATTTCTTAACGGACTTCCAGATTTCCTGGATGTAGTAATGCCATTTGTGATCCAATATTTAATTCCTAAGTAATCTATGCCTCAATAAATGGATATATATATCTATATGTATGTTTATAAGATGTTTCATTGATCCACTAAGGAAATGCATGAAAGTTCCTGATTCTAATGTCTAGTATGTGCCCCACATGCCTAACTTTTGTCACCTGACTAAGAGGGGCACATGAGCTGTGTTATGCTGAGAACCTCAGACACCAAGTATGTAGTCATCGTCAATCCATGACTTATAACGCCGCCGAGCATTAGTCATCATCGGTCCATCCTAGCCTGTCTCTTCTCGAGTACTATGTGCATGATTGTTGTTTAACTGTAAAAGTGCCTAAGATTTTCTTTAGTTTTTCAGGATAAGTGAATCCTTTATGCAGATGCATTATATACTCTGTAAGAGCATAGAGCATCCAATTGAGGAATAGAGACAACAATTTTGAATATTACTCACACAGATTTGGTCTTTTGTAAACACGGTGATTAAGTGCAGAGTTTGAGCGTGGTCCAGTGTTTTAAGCAGACCAAAGCCATTGCTTCCCAGGGATGAGCACTGTGGATGATGAAAATTTAATGACTTAACTCATGTAAGCTGTGAAAAACTTTTTCTGTAGATGTTTGTGAATCTGTGGTAACATCTATATGTGTTTTCACTTAATGTAATTTAAGCTTTGTATCTGGTTCATTTTAAGGTGCAATGATTTTTGAAAATTTTAATTACATTTTTTGTTTTAGTTTTGTTTTCATGACGAAGTTACTCTGTGTACCTTACAAAACTTTTCTGGGCCTTGGTTTGAAGATCAGGCTGACCTGGAATTCACAAAGATGCTCCTATCTCTGACCTGAGTGCTAGGGTAAAGATATGCACCACCATGGCCTGGTTTTACTTTTATGATTATGTTTGAAAAACGTAAGGATAACAACCTTTATTTCCTTTAAGTACTAAGTAGAAACCCATGCTGAACTGTGAAGGCAGCAGTTATGAGTACAGATTTCAGCATCTAAGACTGAGAGATAACCACACATTCCTGGATTGCCTGAGCATCACAGGTGTTTGTGTGTCTGTTCTGAGTAGTAAAACCAGTAAAAACAAAAAGGAAAAACAGAAGTATTAAATGAGGGGATAGATAGTGAGGCTCAGTCTAGACTCAGATTTTTATAGCCAGGTAAACTCAACAAAATTTGATTGGGAATAAGCTTGTTAAGGAAGCTCACTGACAAAGCCATTGAGGCACTTAACAAACTTTCCTACAACTGAACATCAGACAAAACCATGAGAAACAAGATTGCACAATGTGTTTGTCTAGCTACACACTCCCTGTTCATTAAGGAACAACTAAATCTTCTGAGTGGACCTAAGCAGAAAAAATAGATCCTGAACCAGTCTCCCCAACTGTCTGTCAATCACAAATACATGTGAAGCCTGCTGAATGCAAACAGGATACATGATCCCAAAACTTCAAAGAAAGCATAAACATTAGAAACTATGGTGTGTCTAAATACACAAATACAAACACCAAGGAAATTGATGAATGGCTAAATTTATTTGCATTCCCTAGAGAATCATATGGTAGTGGACCAACCATCCATCTACCTCGTAATAAGACTGTACTAGCCTCCACTTTGAATTCCTTAACTGAGATAACAATATACTTTTCTTATATATTTATGACAGGGTCATTACACCTGTAATTCCACAGGAAAAAGTCAGCATTAATGTCAGATTATATCATATAGGCAATAAGTAATTAGACACCTGTAGAGCGATGAGAGATAAAGTAAAGATATATGATATATAAAAGTGAATAGATAGATGTTAGCTGATGGATGGATAGATAGATGTAGTTTGATACAAACAGATAAATTTAAGGCATCTAATTATATTGTTGTGTACGTTTGGCTGCAATTCTTTAATAACGCAGTGTGTCATCCTATCTTTTTAATCTTAACGTTATTAAGATTATATGTTTCACCTGTCACTAACCAGCTGTGGCATTCTTGAAAATTTTTTGATTCCTTCTACAACAGGAAGAAGCAGACAGAAGACAAGAACACTAATTTACTCACATGGCCTCCTGAGCTCCCAAGACCCTAGGCTAGTCCTGGACCTCATGATGCAGATGTTAGCGAGCCTTCCTCTTGGGAACACCCACACAGATGAAGAGGGAAAAAAGCATTATAAGCATGGTTTTGCTCTATACTGTGGCCCTTATATACTTAGTTTTATTTTACTCATCAAAGTATTTAGAACTACAATAAATTCTTATTGAGAACATACAAAGGAAATCTTGTTCTAACCCTAACAAGAACAAGAATGTTTGCCACTATTGTACACAGCATATAGCATCCTCAACGAAGGTACTGCAACTCCACATATTAATTACTGTGTTACTGTGGGTTTCCCAAACCAATATATATATATATATATATATATATATATATATATATATATATATCCTGTTCATATTGCTAGTTTTTATTTTTTTGGGGAATGCTTTGCCCTCTTTCATTTATTACATATATTGTAATCTAATTATATGAATGGAATGAAATCTCATGAATGTAAATATTATGATAACACACTATAAATGATGCACCTGAAAACTGTAACACAATCTCACACTACATGTGTTCTGGTGTGAACCTCAGACTCCCAGACCTGTAGTCATGATCCCCGGATCATACATCATCAGTGGTCATCATTGATCCAACACCACCTCTTCCTTTCCCTTTCGCTTTCTATGTTATTATTACCTAACAATTTGTGTCACTTGTAACAGTTACATAACTCTTCACCACAAAATCCGGAAGGATTGACATGATTCTACAGATTTTGTGCCACACTGACTCTCTGTCTCTTCTCTTAATTTTGGAATCCCTCAGCACTGTGTTCCTGGTCAAGTTAAATTGACCTCACAGTCATAGTTGGCCTAACAGGAGCCTGTGCATGCCTTTACCAAGACAGGAGTGTCTTATCAAGGCCTCTCAAAGCAAAGAAGAATTTCGATTCCACTTACATCAGTTCTCTTAATGCTCACACATGGGCACAGGGCAACCATGGACCTCCCAGCCAGCAAAAAGATGTGTCACTCAGCATCCATCCAGGGAGAACAAAGAAGGGACAGTAATAAAAAGACTGGTTTTATTCAAATCATTTCTACATTTTCCTTTCACTACTTGTTAGTAAGGATTCAAGTTGTTATGGTGGTTTCTTAAAGGATCAAGTAGAAAAGATTGAAAATTGAGGTTTTGACACTCACTGGGATTTAATCCATTAATTATGCTTCATATGTGAACTTGGATGAAGATTATATGCATGTTTATGTCTATTATTTCTTAACTGAATTCCAGATTTCCTGAATGTAGTTATTCCATTTGTGGTCCAGTATTTAATTTCTAAGTAATCTATGTCTCAATAAATGGATCTACATTTATATGTATGTTTATATGATGTTTAATTGATCACTAAGAAATTGCATGAAAGTGCCTGATTCTAATGTCCAGTATGTGCCCCACATGCCTCACTTTTGTCACCTGACTAAGAGGGGCACATGAGCTGTGTTATGCTGAGAACCTCAGACACCAAGTATGTAGTCATCGTCAATCCATGACTTATAACGCCGCCGAGCATTAGTCATCATCGGTCCATCCTAGCCTTTCTCTTCTCGAGTATTATGTGCATGTTTGTTGTTTAACTGTAAAAGTGCCTATGATTTTCTTTTGTTTTCAGGATAAGTGAATCCTTTATGCAGATGCATTATATACTCTGTAAGAGCATAGAGCATCCCATTGAGGAACAGAGACAACAATTTTGGACATTACTCACACAGATTTGGGTCTTCTGTAAACACGGAGATTAAGTGTAGAGTTTGAGCATGGCCCAGTGTTTAAAGCAGACTGAAGCTGTCGGAGGGATGAGCACTGTGGATGATGAAAATTTAATGACTTACTTATTTAAGCTCTGTACAGCTTTTCCTGTAGATATTTGTGAATCAGTGTTAATAGCTATGTGTTTCCATTTAATAAAATTTAAGCCTTCACGTCTTGTTCATTTCAGTGTGTGGTTATTTTTGTATCTTCTTTATGATGATGTTTTGGGAAATTAAGAAACCAATCTTTCATCCCTTTAAGTACTAAAGAGAAGCCCCAGGATGAAGCTTGAGGCCAGCTGCTATGAGAAGAGACTTTAGGATCTACAACTAAAGAACACATTCCCTGTTTGCCGAAGCATGGCAGTTCTTTGATTGGAGATGTCTTTGTGTATGCTGTTCATGTATGTTGCCCACATTGGTTGATAAATAAAGCTGTGTTGGCCATTGGACAGGCAGGATGTAGAGAGGTAAGAAGTATAGGTGGGACCACCAGAAAACACCAATTCATGGAAGAAGAACACAGAGAGAGGGAGTCACAAGGTAGAAGTCATGTAGCCACCAAGTAAAAAAGAGACCTGGCTTCACCAGTAAGTAAAGACCATGTAGAGATACATGTATTAATAGAAATGGGGTAATAAGTATGACAGAGCTAGCCAATAAGAAACCTGAGCTATCAGTCAAGCAGTTTATAATTAATATAAGACTCAGTGTATTTCTTTGGAACTAAAGGGCTCCGATTTGGGGTGGGATAGAAACTTCTGTCAACAGGATTTTGGGTGCCTACTCTGAGAAATACAAAGCAGTACAAAGACAGAAATATTAAACGAATGGACAGATAGAGAGGCTCGGTCTAGACTCAGATGTTTTATGTCCAAGTCCATCTCAACGCAAACTTACTGGGATTAACCTTGTACTTGTTGTATTGTAAGTAAGTCCACTGACAAAGTCACTGAGTCACTTACTAACTTTCCTAAAACTGAACATCAGATAAAACCATAAGACCAGGACTGGTCCATGTGTCTGTCTAACTACACATCCCCTGTTCACCAGCAGACAACTAAGTATCCTGAGTAAACCTCTGTAGAAGAAAGGAGATGGTGACTCAGTCTCCCCAGATATCTGTCAAACATAAATATACACAGAGTTATTTGCATGCATATGGGGTTATTTGTCCCTACAACTTCAAGGAGTCAGCATGGAAACTATATAATACTACATACAGTTTTTCTAAATAAATAATGCAATCACTAGGGCAATACCATGAATGGTTCAGTTCATGTGCATTTTATAGAGTCATAAGGGGCTGGATTAAAGCCTGCACTGGCCTCCACTTTGGCTTCATGAGTTGTGATAACAATAAGCTTTTTCAAGTTTATGATAGGGCCACTATTCCTGTGATTCCACAGAAAAGGAAAAATTAATTTCAGGTTATATTTCATAGATGACAGATGATAGAGAGAGAAGGATCAATAGAAAGAAAGATGATAGAGAGAGAGAGATGGTCAGATAAAAATAAGCTAACAATTATATTCTTGTGTATGTTTTGGAAGAACTCCTTTGTGACTCAGTGTGTCAACTTAATTTCATCTTATAGATATTAATACAGTGTTTCAAAGATATTTGCATTAGTCCTTAACTGGTTGTGTCATTCTTGAGTACTTTGTAATTCATTTGTCAATAAGGAGAAGCAGTCAAAGTCACACAAGAACATGAACTATACTTACATGGCCCCCGTGATCCCAAGACCCTAGACTCTCCATGGACCTCATGATGCAGATGGAAGGGTAGCTTCTGCTTGGGGACATCCACAGAAATGAAAAGAAAGGATTATTAACACAATCATGTTCTACACAATGGACCTTGTGTGGTCTCATTTTCATTTTACTTATCTATGTGCATTAAACTATGATGCATTCTTCTTGAGAAAAATACACAGCAAACCTGGTTCTGACCCTAACAAGATTTTTGAGACACAATTTTAAACAACACACAGCTTCATCAGCTAAGAGACTATAACTCTGCCATTTATTATTAGTGGGTTTCTTAACTTTATATATGTATCCTGTTAGTATTACTACTTAGTATTATTTTAGAGAATGCCTTTCCCTCTCATTATTATATTATATTCTAACTGTATAAATGGAATGAAAAACCAGGGACATAAATATTATGATGACACACTATTTATGCTACACATGACATCTGTATCACAATCTCACACTGCAAGTATTCTGGTGTGAACCTCAGACTCCCAGACCCGTAGTCATGATCCCCGGATCATACATCATGAGTGGTCTTCATTGATCCAACACCACCTCTTCCTTTCTCTTTCGCTTTCTATGTTATTATTACCTAACTATTTGTGTCACATGCAATAATTACATAACTCTTCATCACAAGTTCCTAGCACAAAATCCTAAGGTATTGACATAATTATACAGATTTTGTGCCACCCTAACTCTCTGTCTCTTCTCTTAATTTTGGACTCCCTCAGCACTGTGGACATGTTCCTGTCAAATTGACCTCACAGGCATAGTTGTCTTATATTTTTGGTTGTGAGCCTAGCCTTTAATGGCTGAGCTATCCCTCCAGCCCAGGCATAGTTGTCTTCACAGGAACCTATGCATGCCTTTACCAAGTCAGGCCTCTCAGAACAAATGAGAACTTTGAGTTCACTTACATCAGTTCTCTTGATCCTCACACATGGGGACAGTGCAACCATGCACATCCCAGTCAGGAAACAATGTATTACTCAGCATCCATCCAGGGAGAAGGAAGCACATAAAGTAATAAAAAGATTGTTATGTTCAAATCCTTTCTACATTTTCCCTTTCCTGACTGTTACTTCCATTTCAAATTGTTATGATGGTGACTTAATAAACCAAGTAAGATTTAAATTGAGTGTTGATCCTTGGTAGGGATTAATTCATTTATTATAAATCACATGAACTGGAATGAAGTTCAATTATTTCTTAACCTACTTCCAGATTCTTTTGGATGTAATAGTATAGTTTGTAATTAAATATTTATTTTGGAATAGGTCAATGCCTCAATAAATGTATTTGTATGATATCATGCTCATTGATCCACTAAGGAAATTCATGAAAGTGCCTGATTCTAATGTCCAGTATGTGCCCCACAAGCCTCACTTTTGTCACCTGACTAAGAGGGGCACATGAGCTGTGTTATGCTGAGAACCTCAGACAGCAAGTATGTAGTCATCGTCAATCCATGACTTATAACGCCGCTCACCTTGGTCATCATCGGTCCATCCTAGCCTTTCTCTTCTCGAGTACTATGTGCATGTTTGTTGTTTAACTGTAAAAGTGCCTGTTATTTTCTTTTGTTTTCAGGATAAGTGAATCCTTTATGCAGATGCATTATATACTCTGTAAGAGCATAGAGCATCCCATTGAGGAATAGAGACAACAATTTTGAATATTACTCACACAGATTTGGGTCTTCTGTAAACACGGAGATTAAGTGTAGAGTTTGAGCATGGCCCAGTGTTTAAAGCAGACTGAAGCTGTCGGAGGGATGAGCACTGTGGATGATGAAAATTTAATGACTTACTTATTTAAGCTCTGTACAGCTTTTCCTGTAGATATTTGTGCATCTGTGTTAATAGCTATGTGTTTCCATTTAATAAAATTTAAGCCTTCACGTCTTGTTCATTTAAAGTGTGTGGTTATTTTTGTATCTTCTTTATGATGATGTTTTGGGAAATTAAGAAACCAATCTTTCATCCCTTTAAGTACTAAAGAGAAGCCCCAGGATGAAGCTTGAGGCCAGCTGCTATGAGAAGAGACTTTAGGATCTACAACTAAAGAACACATTCCCTGTTTGCCGAAGCATGGCAGTTCTTTGATTGGAGATGTCTTTGTGTATGCTGTTCATGTATGTTGCCCACATTGGTTGATAAATAAAGCTGTGTTGGCCAATGGACAGGCAGGATGTAGAGAGGTAAGAAGTATAGGTGGGACTACCAGACAACACGAATTCAGGGAAGAGGAATGCAGAGAGAGGAAGTCTCAGGGTAGAAGTCATGTAGCCACCAAGTAAAAAAGAGACCTGGCTTCACCAGTAAGTAAAGACCATGTAGAGATACATGTATTAATAGAAATGGGGTAATAAGTATGACAGAGCTAGCCAATAAGAAACCTGAGCTATCAGTCAAGCAGTTTATAATTAATATAAGACTCAGTGTATTTCTTTGGAACTAAAGGGCTCCGATTTGGGGTGGGATAGAAACTTCTGTCAACAGGATTTTGGGTGCCTACTCTGAGAAATACAAAGCAGTACAAAGACAGAAATATTAAACGAATGGACAGATAGAGAGGCTCGGTCTAGACTCAGATGTTTTATGTCCAAGTCCATCTCAACGCAAACTTACTGGGATTAACCTTGTACTTGTTGTATTGTAAGTAAGTCCACTGACAAAGTCACTGAGTCACTTACTAACTTTCCTAAAACTGAACATCAGATAAAACCATAAGACCAGGACTGGTCCATGTGTCTGTCTAACTACACATCCCCTGTTCACCAGCAGACAACTAAGTATCCTGAGTAAACCTCTGTAGAAGAAAGGAGATGGTGATTCAGTCTCCCCAGATATCTGTCAAACATAAATATACACAGAGTTATTTGCATGCATATGGGGTTATTTGTCCCTACAACTTCAAGGAGTCAGCATGGAAACTATATAATACTACATACAGTTTTTCTAAATAAATAATGCAATCACTAGGGCAATACCATGAATGGTTCAGTTCATGTGCATTTTATAGAGTCATAAGGGACTGGATTAAAGCCTGCACTGGCCTCCACTTTGGCTTCATGAGTTGTGATAACAATAAGCTTTTTCAAGTTTATGATAGGGCCACTATTCCTGTGATTCCACAGAAAAGGAAAAATTAATTTCAGGTTATATTTCATAGATGACAGATGATAGAGAGAGAAGGATCAATAGAAAGAAAGATGATAGAGAGAGAGATGGTCAGATAAAAATAAGCTAACAATTATATTCTTGTGTATGTTTTGGAAGAACTCCTTTGTGACTCAGTGTGTCAACTTAATTTCATCTTATAGATATTAATACAGTGTTTCAAAGATATTTGCATTAGTCCTTAACTGGTTGTGTCATTCTTGAGTACTTTGTAATTCATTTATCAATAAGGAGAAGCAGTCAAAGTCACACAAGAACATGAACTATACTTACATGGCCCCCGTGATCCCAAGACCCTAGACTCTCCATGGACCTCATGATGCAGATGGAAGGGTAGCTTCTGCTTGGGGACATCCACAGAAATGAAAAGAAAGGATTATAAACACAATCATGTTCTACACAATGGACCTTGTGTGGTCTCATTTTCATTTTACTTATCTATGTGCATTAAACTATGATGCTTTCTTCTTGAGAATAATACACAGCAACCCTGGTTCTGACCCTAACAAGATTATGAGACACAATTGTTAAACAACACACAGCTTCATCAGCTAAGAGACTATAACTCTGCCATTTATTATTAGTGGGTTTCTTAACTTTATATATGTATCCTATTAGTATTACTACTTGGTATTATTTTACAGAATGCCTTTCCCTCTCATTATTATATTTTATTCTAACTGTATAAATGGAATGAAAACTCATGAGCATAAATATTATGAGAACACACTATAAATAATTCACCTGACATCTGTAACACAATCTCACACTACATGTGTTCTGGTGTGACCCTCAGACTCCTAGACTGTAGTCATGATCCCTGAATCATACATCATGAGTGGTCTTCATTGATCCAACACCACCTCTTCCTTTCTCTTTTGCTTTCTATGTTATTATTACCTAACTGTTTGTGTCACTTGCAATAATTACATAACTCTTCATCACAAGTTCCTAGCACAAAATCCTGAGGTACTGACATAATTATACAGATTTTGTGCCACCCTAACTCTCTGTCTCTTCTCTTAATTTTGGACTCCCTCAGCACTGTGGACATGTTCCTGTCAAATTGACCTCACAGTTGTCCTAACAGGAGCCAGTGCATGCCTTTACCAAGACAGGAGTGTCTTATCAAGGCCTCTCAAAGCAAAAGAAGAACTTTGACTCCACTTACATCAATTCTCTTGATCCTCACACATGAGGACAGGGCAACCATGGACCTCCCAGCCAGGAAACAACGTGTCACTCAGCATTCATCCAGGGAGAACATAGCAGGGAAGGTAATAAAAAGATTGGTATTATTCAATCATTTCTACATTTTCCTTTCACTACTTGCTAGTGAGGTTTCAATTTGTTATGATGGTGTCTTAATAATTGAAGTAAGATTTAAAATTGAGGTGTGAGCCTCACTAGAGCTTAATTCGTTAACTATAAATCATATGCGAACTTGAATGAAGTTCATATACATCTTTATGTCAATTATTTCTTAACTGACTTGAAGATTGTTTTCCATGTAGTAGTAGTGTTTGTGATCAAATATTCATTTTCTAATAAATCAATGCCTCAATTAATCTATTTGTGTTATATCATGTTTCATTAATCCACTAAGGAATGCATGAAAGTGCCTGATTCATGTATAACCTTTGTCGCTTGAGCTGTGTTATGCTGAGAACCTCAGACACCAAGTATGTAGTCATCGTCAATCCATGACTTATAACGCCGCCGAGCTTTAGTCATCATCGGTCCATCCTAGCCTTTCTCTTCTCTAGTAATATGTGCATGTCTGTTGTTTAACTGTAAAAGTGCTGAATCCCTTGTTCAGACACATTCTATACTCTATAATAACATAGAGCATCTCTTTGAGGAAAAGAAGACAACAATTTTGAATATTACTCACACAGATTTGGACCTTCTGTATACACGGAGTTTAAGTGTAGAGTTTGAGCGTGGTCCAGTGTTTATAGCAGACCGAAGTCATCTGATGGACAATCACTGTGGATGATGAAAATGTAATGACTTACTTTTGTATGTTTTGTAAAACTTTTTCTGTAGATGTTTGTGAATCTGTGGTAATAGCTATCTGTTTTCACTTCACAAAATTTAAGTCGTTGTGTCTGGTTCATTTTAGCATACAGAGATTTTTGTAACTTCTTTATGATGACATTTTAAAAATTTAAAAATGTCAACCTTTCTTCCCTTTAAGTACTAAAGAGAAGCCCCAGGATAAAGCATGAGGCTATCAGCTATAAGTACAGATTTGAGGATCTAGGACTCAAGAGAGATATGAACATGTTCCTAGTTTGCCTGAGCATCACAAGTGTTTGTGTGTCTATTCTGAGAAGCATAAACAAGTACAAGGACAGAAATATTGAAAGAATGGATAGAAAGGGAGGCTCAGTCTAGACTCAGATTTTAACAGCCAGCTCAGCTCAACAAAGTTGATAGGGACTAACCTTGAGCTTGCTATCTAGGAAGTAAGCTCACAGACAAAGCCATGGGATCACTTCCTAACTTCCCTACAATATTACAACCAGCAAAATGATAAAAACCAATTCTGGTCAGTGTGTCTGTTCTGCTACACACACCCTGCTTTTCAGGGATGAGGGAAATCTTCTCAGTGAACCTAGGTAGAAGGAAGGAGAGTGCGCCTCTGTCTCAGCTGTTGTCTTTCAAACATAAGTATGCACAGAGCCATCTGCATGTATATGTGATTCTTAATTCCTACAACTTCAAGGAACAGCACAGAAACTCTATAATACTGTAGTGTTTTTCATATAATGACCTACTATGACCACTGTAAAAAACAGAAATGGTTCAGTTTATTTGTTTTTTTCTAGAGAGTCATATAGGACTTGAAAAAACGTTCACCTGTTTCTCTACAGAAGTCTCCACTTTGTTTCATTAATTTAGATAATATTGTCCTTGGTCTATAATTATGATCATGCCATTCTTCCTGGGAATCCACGGAAATAGGAAATGCTTTGCTATTTTTCTAATTTTTTAATTAAACTGCAGTTTGGAATTGAAATACATTGGAAAGGAGTACAGAAATCACATTTCCTAACCTGGGGAGTGTTGTCAGCCAAGACTCATGCACAAACCCTGTTCAACTAGGATTTTATCTCATAAGTAATCAAATTAAATAAATATTTTGTTCCTTCCTTAATAAAAAAAACCAACATCTGAAAACAACACACATTTATCCAGATATTCCTTGCCTTAAAGCATCAGCCTTAATCGATAGACTACTAGGATGCAGGGTTTCATACATACATTAGTAATGATTCTTATTGAGCTAAATGCTTACATGTTTGGTAGAGAAATGAAACATGTTGTTTATGTCCATTTATAGGGTTTTCAGTTGATTTATATACTACTTTAGTGCACATAAACCCAAGAGTAAAACCCCTGTTATTTTTGATAGCTGGATTAAGCACATATCCCTACGTGAAAATAAATGGGATTTTTCACAATGGACCCTCAGAGTTACAGGGCTTAATCACAGTCCTCCGTTCAGACATCCCAGGGTACTCCTCATTGATCCATAGGCAATCTTTGACCTCTTGCTTTTTCTTTCTGAGACTGTTTTGTTTATTGACCCACTCGGTGCCTCGCTGGCAGCAATAAAATAAATATTCATGAATTTAAAAGAAATGGCCACGGACAATAAGCCTGTTTGGATGCAAGTTCTCCTCCTAGGCTCTTTTCTCATAGCTTAGCTCTTTCCCGACCTTTTCGGGGAGGGGGTTGGTCTTCAGTGAACCATGGATGGATTGATTCGCATGCCTGCCTCACAGTCGGTGCATCTGTCTCTCTCTCCTCTTCCTGAGTGCTTCCCTTCAGTATGAGGAGGTGTCTAATGGAGCTTTGCAGAGCAATGCAAACATGATACTAACTGCATCTCCAACACTGCCCCCCATGGCAGGGAACTGCCAAGTACTTGAAATGTGGCCGATGTCATGGAGAAATTGAATGTTACACTTTGCTTTAGTTACTTTATATATATAGGCAGCCTTGTTGGTATGGTGGCAGCCATCTTGGACATGCAGCCTTAGATTCTGTGAATATATAACTTATAAGTGGCCTGCAGTACAGAAATAAAGTGGTTTGTAAGTAATATGTGCCAACTGGATCCATAGCAGTTTTTTCATAATACATTTGTATCGTAGGTCTGTATATGGTTAATCTTAAATAATTCTATGAATACTGCAAAGAAACCAGCCCTGCTTGACAGGACTCCTTGATTATTCTGTGTTCACAAAGTTTCTTCATCATAGTGGCAACAGCAAAGCCCTGCATCTCAGAGAGTCATTCAGTCAGCTACAGTCTTCATTCTGTGGTGTCAAACACCAAGTTTTCAAACAATGAGCCATGTAGATTTAGACATGAGTTTGGCACTAAAATATTCATGAAGTCAATTACCATTTTTCTCATTGACCAAAGAATAGGCCACCTTTAGAATTATCTAACTATTCATTTTAAGTGACAAAATGAACCATGTTCAATTCATCACTTAGAAACAAGGATAATCAAGAATTGTGCATACCTGTCTACAATTTCCACCACAGGCAACAGAATAATCCTTTTTCCAATTGAAAAAAAAGAAGAATTCACAGTATACTTCCCTAGAATGTACAAGTAGTATGATTCATCTAAAAATTAAATGAATTATAAAAACAGAAAATAAAATGCTGTCTGGATTTTTTAAGGATAAAATATTCTAGGAGTTTTGTTTGCTTTGGTTTTTAGTGCAAGGAGAGACAGAGACCAAGTGTCACTGTGTAGCTCAGGTTGGCCCTAAACTTAGGATTCCCGTGCTGTTACACACACAAACACCACACACACACACACACACACACACACACACACACACACACTTTACTGCAGTCGGTACTATGAGGATGGACAGTGATGTCTATACTGTGCTTCATGATGTCCAAACCCAGCTCTGCTCACACTGATCCAGTTACATCTTACACTGTGGCAGCTTTTCAGTCAAAAGTGGCAGTCTGTATGCATCTCTGGACCAAACAGCCACATATTCTGGACATCTGCTCCAGGCCCATTTCCTTCATGGACACTGGAGGCCACTTTTAAAACGCCGACATCATACATACAGATGTTTTAATCAAAGTTTTGATTCAGACATCTGATCCCATCCCTAGTGTCTACTCAGGGGCACTCCTTCTCTGCAAGTACTTAGACATTTATTTCTCATGAGCTGCTATGTCTTTCCACAGAATAATACCTGTGACACAGCTGCAACATTCCCTTAGACTCAATCCACACAAAGTATACACAAGCACAGTCACGAACAATGACTGGTCCCTGAGCCATGGCTACTAGATTCTTCTAATTGGAAAGAGGTATCCCACAAATGCAGCACACACAATGTGCCACCAATCAGGACCTTCCTCTAAACAATCAGCAGCCAGCTGTGCAGGAGATAAGACTTGGACTATCAATAGCTCTGGGAGACAACTCAATTCCTTCAGCTTGTTCAAGCTCATCTTAGTTTTCTTGCAAAGGTGGGATCATCCCATTCTTTTGCCCAATTCACTTCTTCCCACAGGTCTACACTCAGTTTTCTTGGGTTAACCGGGGGTAAATAATCATCTGCTTTGTACTTCCGTGACTACCAATGAAGAAAGTTAGAGCAGAAGCCCACCTTAGGTTTCCATCACTACTCCTTACCCTCAGAAGTAAAGATAAGATCTTTGTCATGGACAATGACCAAATCCAAGGCTAGACACTTATTCTGAGAAAAAGGGGGACTGCCAAATGAATAGAATGTATACCTTTCGGGAAAACTAGTAGATGTGATCACTGCTTTGCTTAACTTCAGAGCAGGTTTGGTCAATTTCAGGATCCCAAAACTGGTATTTCTATGCACAAACTAACTCCATTTTGAATTAAAAAAATTTTAAAATGGAAGATCTTTGACTCTGTCATTCAAAACAAAAAGTTCAATTGTTGATGACTGTCTAAATTAATAACTGTCTGTCCATCTGTCTCTTGACATGGACAGATGTGCCTATCAAGCAATACATAGGCCTAAGAACTATTAGGAAATAAGTTTTCAAAAAAATGGGATGAATTAATTCATATTCCATTAGCAACCAATCAATGGCGTGAACTGCCATCCAATCTCTGCATTTACTGATTCAGTTATTCAATAACTCTAAAAATCATGCAATTATATATTATCTTATTCTAAAGAGAACACAAAATGGTCACTCCTCCTTTTACGTATTTACTGCTACCTGCAATTTTGCATAGTAGCCCTGTCTGGGCCTCAGAGCTTGCTGCACTAACACCAGACAACAGCAGAGAGGACAGCTAAGTCCTCTCACAGAAATAAACAGCAATCTTTGCCGCCTTAGCCACTTTCATAAATGGATGGGGCAGAACCATTTTTGTCTTTTACTAATGTATTGATTGACGTAATCGTAGCTCGACAGACAAGAGCAATGAAAACCCAAAAGCACATTTTCCATAGTCACAGAGGACCTCGCAGACAAAGCCTAGGTTTAATCAAAACATTGGATTCAGATACCCCACACATACTCATCATCAATCCAGACCTGGTACTCTGTACTTTTACTCAGTCATATTATTCTTGACTTATTCATTGATTCACTAATAATATAATCAATATCCATGAATTAAGAGAGGAAAGATCCTCAAGGATAGAAACTCATCTTGACAGCACACATTCCACAGAGCTACAGCCTGCCCTTTGTGCTGTGAGCCTCATCATGGTAAATCTGAATGAATCCAATTCTGCACACAGTATTAGTTGCTGTCCTTCATGGAGCTACGTCTGCTGGCTCAATGAACTGCCATCTGATGAGAAAATTCACTGTTTCATTATATTTTCCCCTCAGTGAGTGGACCATGAACGCAATGCAATGGAGACGTGTCTGGGTTGGTTGTGATCCAGAGCACACTAAAATATTCTGGAAATGGTTGAAATGCACTCATCTTTTTATCCTGAGGAATTTGGTTGGGCTGAAGTGGATTCATCATGATTATAAACTCACAAAACATTTCCATCACTGTCTCCATCATGGCTACATCCAACCTGTCCCTCAGGAACTTTTCTGTGGACATGATGGCACCCCTCTCCCGGAAAGGACATGTACTTTGACTCTCACTTACTTCTGTGTCTTCTTTTTCTTAGGCAGAGGTACACAGGCAAGATCTTCCCCAGGAGGTAATCATGAAGTCATATCAGCCGTGCTCATTCTGAGGAGTAGAAGGCAGATATTGAAATGAATTAGTGTCATTTAGCTTCTGAGGAGGAACCACAGTTGGGGGTGATCAATTAGCCATAAATGTTGGTTTGCGTTCCGGTCGGAACACTTGGGAAAGCAGAAGTCCTTTATATTTATTATCTTATGGGGTTTAGAAGTGAGAACAGCACTGTATATTTATGAACCTGCATAAGTTTTTATTTAAAAGAATGTCATGAAGACCACTGAACCCAGCAGTTAAAAAAAAGAAAAATAACTCTAATTATTAGGACCATCTGGTGTGTTTGTTACCAACATACATAAGAGCAAAGTTGTCCTTTCAGTTGGATGTTGTGCAAAACTGGAGATGAGAGATTTACCATATGGTATAATCTCTGTGATGGTCCAAACTTAATTTTCCTGGATAAGTGTGTGTTTATATGTGTTATTTGTGCAGATGCACACACATGCAGGCTCGTGTGTGTGTGTGTGTGTGTGTGTGTGTGTGTGTGTGTGTGTGTGTGAGAGGCACCTTGGATGCTGGTCCTCAGAAGCTAACCATCATGCTTGATGAGGTCAGATCTCTCACTGGTCTTGAGCTGACGAGCCAGCAAGCTCTAAAGATTCACCCACCTCTGCCTCCCCAGCAATGGGGTCACCAGTACACATGATCACACACTCACCACTGCCTCTGCAGCACGGGGATCACCCACACACACTGCCTCCCCAGTAAGAAGGTCACACACACACACCATCACACACACACCATCACACACACACCACGGTCTCTGCAACAGGGGGTCACCCATACACACCATCACACACCCACAACTGCCTCTGAAACACTGGGACTACCCATATACACCATCACACACACGCTACAGCCTTCCCAGCAATGGGATTACCCATACACACCATCACATGCAAGCTTTTTTAATTTACATGAGCTCTGGGGATAGAAATAAGTTCCCCTTAATTCCAAGGCAAGCACCTGATTGACTTAACTATCCCCGCCCAACCTGGCCCTGTTTACTTCACTCACTAACTGAGGTGTTTAATTTCTCATGGGATAATTTTTCTAGAAGAATTTTACAACCATCAAACCAACACTGGAACACTAACAAGATGTCTTCTTATGGGTTTCAGAAGTAGATAGTGTAAAGATCCCAGTGGCAGAATATTTTCCACTGGTACACAATTTGCTGAATTAAAAAAAACTACTGGTTGAGATACAAATTTAGGAATATGTCCCTTCCTTCTTAATTATACTGAACTAGATGTGTGTCCATCCATACTGGATCAGTGCTCTGAGTGGTATTTATGTTTTTCCTATGTCAATGCTCAAAAAACACAATCATATTTGACTTGGTGTGTGTTTATTTCAAGAAAAATGCCTAGACTTTATCACTGGTGGTGTGTGTGACGTCTCATCTTTGCTCTGTGTGTAAGTGTTGTCCCTCTAGTCACTAGTTACAGGGGTATGTGTTCTTTTCCTTGACACGGGGCAGCCTCACCTCAACTTGCCTCCTTTTGCAATCATCAAATCGCATGACCTCTAAGACAGCTAGTCACCTAAACTGATGAACTCAAAATAAATAACAAGCTGCAATGCATTAAATGCTTTAAAAAGTACATATACACATTTAGCTTCTCTTCTTTTTTTGCTTTATATGAATTAGTTTGCTCATTTAAAGTGTGTGTAAGGGGGCATATGTGTAGAGGTCAGAGGACAACTTGAAGGAGTCTGTTCTTCTCCATGAGTGTTTCAGGGATGGAATTTAGACCATCAGGCATGGTCACAAATGCCTTGATATGTAGAGCCATCCCATCTGCCCTAATTTTTTAATTGTTTTGTCGCTTTATTTTGTTTTGGGTTGGTTTTGTTTTTTGGGAGGAATGCGATCTTGGCTGGCCTCAATCTCCCAATGCCATGGCTTCAATGCCCTGGAAGTTAGGGTTGCAGGCGTGTGTGATCTTGCCCAGTCTTATCTTGCTTATTTTTCATTCATCGACTTTTTTTCTTTATTCACGGTTAATTTTAATACAGCAATGTGGGTTGTGCCACGAATCCACAAAGATCGGGCTTTGGGGACTCGTCTCTACAGGCTGCAGACACCACTTTGCAATAGTCCTCAGATTTCATAAGGGTTTAATCACTGTCCTCGTTCAGAAACCCCATGCTCCTCATCATTGGCCCATGCCGGGTGTTTGCTTCACTTACTAACTGACTGACTGACAATTAACAAAACAGAGTCCCCAGAACAAGATCTTTGGGCTGGGGCTCTTTGTCCATTGAGATATTTAGATCATACTACTTCCACAAGGTACTCCAAGGTACCCTGTGGATAGTTCAACATCTCTGTTTTGGATGGATCGAATTCATATCTAGTTTTTGTATGGCCCACTTTTATTTAATTCATTCATGCCAAAGGTGGCTCCAAGAAACATAATGAAGCTACTATCTCCCACCTCTGAAACACTCATAGGCTCATGTATTGGGCCACCCCAAAGAACTACTCCTGGGTATGCTGAGCTCAACCATAACACCAAGAGCACCACTGAAGGTCCTGCGAATCACACTACCTTCCCTTGGTTGGTCCATACATGGGGGGTGCTACCTGATTTAGGTGTGTGACTATTATTCATTTTGAGTTCTATCAGCTAGTGTCTACAAACAAAAGACTGCAAACTTCCCTTTATTCTCATCTATGCTCCTTATTCAGGACAATCATTCCATATTAAATAATTAAATCAGGATCCTACATTTACCACAGAATGGAAAAGAAGAATTAGAATACATGTAGAATTTAATGGGTCAAGCAAAACTACATAATAATAAACTTTAGATTTAATATTGAACTTGGGATTTTACCTGAAAGTAAGTTCTAAAGGGATTAGAAACATCTATTAATCAAGGTGTATCTCACAACTTGTTAGCTGATGCATTTTTCCTTTTATTAATGAGCAACTCTCTTAAATACAGCTACTAATATACTCAGTATGAAAGAGGGTTACAGCCTACATCCTGTTTTGCTTCCAGTTCACAAGTAGTCTTGCTTTTCAGCTAGCAAAAGCATTAGCTGTCCTTGGCTTATTATACTACCTCTTTACAAATAGGTGTGTCTTTCTTCTTTCTTATGTATCATGTCTTTTTTATGTACATACTTCTCTTGAAATAGCACGCCTCATATTATTGAATCACAAAATCCCAGGGCCAAATTGAACTTTTCAAACTTCTACTCAAAGATAGTATCTAAACAAAACACTGTATATCTCTCACTGAGTAATGGACCTCAGAATTACACCAAGGCTTTACCAGAGGTGTTGATGGACACACCTCTACCAACAGGTATCATAGACACAGGTGTGGCTGCCTAGTCTTCAATGCCACTTGCTTGAGTTGGTATGGTCACTCGTGGGACTCTGATCAGTAGCCTTTCTGTAGATCAAGAGCATGTAGTTGAAACATGTCTATTAATTAGCGGACTGGCTTCTTGTCAAGCCCTGTCTCATGATGGGTGTCTGTCTGTCCCTTAAAGCTGGCAGAAACCTACATAATGGGCTTGGTGACATGACACAATTGGCATCTGCTATCCTCCACTCTACTTCTGCTGTGAGGAATTCACAGTAAGCTGTATGCTGTGAAGGGCTCCACGAAACCACCACAGCCAACGCCTTACAGGTAGTGAAATGTGTGGGGTGTCCACCATCTCTGGAGGAATGGTCCTTAGTGAGTTGAATTGAATCAGGCATAATTTTTTTTATTAATCAGATATTCCAGTTGCGGGCCCGTGATTGGCATGCTTTAATTTCAGGTCTTATTTAAAAATTTACTTTACAGAGATTGTGCAGCTGGCTCTTGTAAAGGAAGCCCACAGAATGCCAGTGCATCAACATGGATGTCTGCTTACTGGGGGCTTCATGCTCCTTTTTTTTGACACACAGGGGTGGTCATCACGATTAGAACATGATAAAATCTCTGACACGGTGTGGGGGAAAGAAAGCTTGTGTCAGAATTGTCACGTGATAATATGTATTCCTGATTAGCCCGGTGCTGACTATTAAAAATATAAATTGAGGATTAAAATAATTCCTTCATTTTGAGTACATGGAAATCTACAATATAACAGCGCTGGCTGTAGCCACTGCCCTCAATAATGGCAGGCTGTGTTCTTTTTCTATTTTTATTAAGAAAAATCAATAAAAATGAAGGTTTTGGATTAACATTCCTTTGGGGGGGAAGGGGGTTCGAGACAGGGTTTCTCTGTGCCTTAGCTGTCCTGGTACTCGCTCTGTAGACCAGGCCAGCCTCAAACTTTCAGAGATCCACCTGCCTCTGCCTCCCAAGTGCTGGGATTACAGGCGAGCGCCACCAACGCCCAGCTGGATTAACATTCTTATCACTGGTCTGTGTTCATCTGATAATTATGTGGACATTTAATTATTTTTTACACCAATGAATGGGTGTCACTTCTCTAAAGGAATTATCCAAGACCAGTTACCAACATAGGACAAAAACATGTGCATATAAATGACTGTGTGTCCCTGAAAGGCGTGAGCCACTACCACCCAGGTTGAACTAAAGAATCAAAACTAAAAAAAAAAAAAAATCTGATTCTCCACTCACAGTAATCATTTTATCCTCCCAGTGGTCCTTGACATTTTGGAGTTTAATCAAATTTTTGCTAGCATGCTCCAAGATCACTGGTCTAGGTTTGAACACTTTCTTCATCCATTTAAATCATCATTTGCTCACTCACAAACAACAACAAACGACATCAACAGACAATAAGTCCCAACATTAACAAGTAGGACATTGTTAACATAAAACCCATGGCTTCCTCTTTCTCCAGTGAACATCAATGTCACAGGGATGGTTAACCTTCATGAACCTTAACAATCCTGTGCTCATTAGAGCAATGCTGGTTCCTATTTACTGAACTTTTCAGTATTTTAACTACAGTCCAATAAACAAGCATGAATTCACAGCCACTATGTCCTTAATGATAAAGAACAGTGCCATCCATTTCTCAGGGCTGGGTGAAGGGCTAGCAATCAGATTTAATAAATTTATGTTGGAATTGATAGCTTCAAATGTATTCATAACAGTGTATAAATTCTGCAATTTCATAAGGAGGCCACAAAGAGCTGTCTTTTCTCCTTGGTCATTTAAATATTTATGTATTTAAATATTTGCCTAGTTGTATCAATTTACTTACAGTGAAATAACACAGACTTATGAAACCAAATAGTTAAGGAACAAAATTTAAATTGTTCCTAATTTCTAATAACATTTACTAAGCAGGTGTCTATTTTTTTATATATTTGTTTGGGGTGTGTGTATCTATGTGGCGTTGTCATAAGTGGCTTTGTGTATATCTTTATGTGTGTATCTTTGTGTGTGAGTGTATCATTGTGTGTTTATGTCTTTGTCTGTGTGTATGTGTTGTGTGTGTTTGTATGTGTCTTTGTGTGTGGCTTTGATGTGTGTGTCTTCTTCTATGAGTGTATTCATTGGTATGTGTATCTGTGTCTTTGTGTGTGTCTTTGTGTGTGTGTGTGTCGTGTGTCTTTGTCTTTGTGTGTTGTTGTCTGTCTGTGTGTATGTCTGTCTCTGTGTATGTGTCTTTATCTGTCCCTGTGTGTGTGTCTTTGTGTGTGTGCTGTGTGACTTTGTCTCTGGGTGTGTGTATGTTTTCTGTGTTTTTGCCTGTCTGTATGTTATGTCTTTGCCTGTCTCTCTGTGTGTCTTTGTCAGTCTCTCTGTGTGTGTTTTTGTCTGTCTCTGTGTATGTGTGTGTGTTGTGTGTCTTTGTGTGTGTTTGTCTTTGTCTGTATGGTGGTTGTCTCTTTGTGTATGTGTCTTTGTGTGTGTTGGTCTTTGTCTGTCTCAGTATGTGTGTCTTTATCTGTCTCTTGTGTACGTGTGTGTCTCTTTGTCAGTCTCTGTGTATGTGTGTATGTGTGTTTGTGTGTGTGTCTTTTGCTGTCTCTGTGTATGTGTGCATATGTCTTTGTGTGTGTGCATGTGTGTGTATCTTTGTGTCTGTCTTTCTTTGTCTGTGTGTGTTTGTCTTTGGCTGTCTGTGTGTCTGCATCTTTGTGTGTTTGTCTTTGTGTGTGTGTCTTTGTGTGTGTGTTTGTCTTTGTCTCTGTGTGTGTGTGTGTGTGATCATCCTGTGTCTTTGTCCATGGTTGGTTGTCTTTTTTTGTGTATGTCTTTGCCTGTCTCTGTGTATATGTGTGTGTTTGTCTGCATGTGCATCCTTGTATGTATTTTGTGTGTCTTTGTCATGTGTGTCTTTGTCTGTGCACTTTAACATATGTACGTATGTGTCTTTGTCTGTGTGTCTTTGTCCTGTCTCTTTATTGTGTGTCATTGACTTTGTCTCTGTGTGTGTCTTTGTCTGTTTGTATGTATTGTATGTCTTTGTCTGTCTCTGTGTATGTGTGTGTCTTTGTCTTTGTCTGTCTCCCTGTATGTGTGTGTGTCTTTGTCTTTGTGTATTTCTCTGTATGTGAAATGGCTGTGTGTGTCTTTCTCTGTTTATCTTTGTCTTTGTCTATCTGTGTGTATGTCTCTGTGTCTGTATATGTGTCTTCTCTGTGTATGTGTCTTTGTCTGTGTGTGTGTCTTTGTCTGCCTGTGTGTGTGTCTGTGTCTGAATGTGTGTGTGTCTTTGTCTGTGTGTGTGTCTCTGTGTATGTGTCTGTGCATGTGTCTCTGTGTATGTGTCTTTGTCTGTGTCTGTGTTTCTGTCTCTGTGTATGTGTCTTTGTCTGCCTGTGTGTGTGTGTCCCTGTCTGTGTATGTGTGTCTTTGTATGTCAGTGTCTGTCTCTATGTGTGTGCCTTTGTCTGCCTTGTGTGTGTCTGTGTCTGAGTGTGACTTTGTATGTCAGTGTGTGTGTCTCTGTCTCTGTGTGTGTGTCTTTGTCTGCATGTCTTTCTCTGTATGTGACTTGGTTGTATGTGTGTGTGTGTCTGTTTATCTTTGTCTTTGTGCATCTTTGTCTGTCTGTGTGTGTGTCTGTCTGTATATGTGTCCTTTTTCTTTGTGTCTCTGTGTGTGTGTCTGTCTATGTGTGTCTCTGTTTCTGTGTATTTGTCATTGTCTGTCTGTGTGTCTCTGTGTGTGTCTTTGTCTGTGTGCATATTGTGTGTCCATGTGGGTGCTGTGTGTCTTTGTCTCTTTGTCTGTTTATGTGTTGTGTGTTTTTGTCTGTCTGTATGTGTATGTCCTTCTCTGTCTCTCTGTGTGTCTTTGTCATTCTCTGTCTGTGTGTCTTTGTATGTCTCAATATATGTGTCTTTGTGTGTGCTTGTCTTTGTTTATCTGTGTGTGTATCTGTGTTTGTCTTTGATTGTGCTTGTCTTTGTGTGTCTCAGTATGTGTGTCTTTGTCTGTTTCCGGGTGTGTGCGTGTGTGTCTTGTGAGTGTGTGTGTGTCTTTGTCTGTATGTATGCACATGCCATAGCATACACTGGGAACAATTCTCTGCTTCCACCATACGGGTCTGGGGGATTGAACTCAGGTGCTCAGGCTTGGCAGCAATTGCCTTAACCCACTGAGTCATATCACTGGCCCCTGATGAAGTCTCTTATGATGAACCTCAGAGTTATAGGGTTAATCAAAATCATTGATTCAGACACCCCAGAATTCCCATCATTGGTCGGGGCATGGTTGCCTTTGTTCAGTTAGTCCTACCTTTGTTTGTCAGCTCACTCATTGAGTCATGACTGCTAATAAAGTCAATAAACATGAAACGTGAACCTGACAACCAGCTTCTGACATTGGACCGAGACACACCTGATAGCTTATGTTCTGGGGGACTGAGACACCCTGATGTGAGGACATGTGGTCACTCAGCTCCCTCCCTTCATGTCAATCCCACTTGTGAACTTTCCTTGCTCTTCTTTAATTAAATTTGTGTGAATTTTAAGGACAGTCAATGTGGTAGACAACCTCCAAGATGACAGTTACTGGGGTCCATACCTATGGCACACAGCCTTGTATTATCTGTTCACATCTTGTATTGTGGTTGTCTATGTGGCAAGTAGAACACTATGGAAGTGGTGGTTTGTGCCTTAAGGAAATAGGTTCTATGATACATTAAGATCTACCAGACTCTGTCCTGTAATGATTGCTCTAAGGAAATTAGCTGTCATGTTCTAAGGACTCTCACTGAGGAAAGTTTCACGTGGAGAAGAAAGCTTGGTCCCCATCAGCAGCCAGCCATGGACATGAGCCTTGCAAAAACGATCATACACACACACACACACATGCACACGCACACACACGCACGCACGCACCTGCACACACACATGCACACATGCACACATGCACACCTGCACACAGTCAAGTGACTACTGTGCCTGACATCTCTCTGACAATTGACAGGACTCCACACAGAAACCCCTGAATGCTGGCCTCATGAAAACTGTGAGAACTGACATGTTCCATGCTTTGAGGCATGAACTCACTGGGTAAGTTACTGCACAGTTAGAGATCTCAACAGCCGCAATTGAGCGTACTGTTTCCTACGTGCTTGACATCACAAGTGTTTCAAATCTGGGGTGTTTTTTTTTTTTCAACTTTTGATATATTTTCACAAACACAATGAAATATTTTAAAATTATTACCCAAAAAGAAATAAAGTCCATTGTCCCCCAGTCACCTTCTACATGTGACCAGAAGGAATTTTTTACTATATTTCAGTGCCCCTGCATTTTGACTATAACCATCACAAGAACCTGTGTGGAACCTTCCAAATGTACCAACCAAGTCAATGCTCATAAAGTTTCGGGTGTTTGGTGTTTCAGATTAGGGGAGCTAACCCTGTCCAACCACAAACCATGCTCCAGTCATGGTGAGGACATCAGCACTGCCTTCTTCACTAGTCTCCAAGCTGCCAGTTCAGTAAGTTCTTGGGCCAGACAGTTGTCATTGATGAGAGGTATAAATTGCCAATGACACAAAACAAATCTCAATACTGAAAATATCTGAGAACAAATAGAAGCCCTCCATGATTAAGAGATTTAGGTTGTGCTGGATCATATTAAGCATAAACTCTGGCCGATTCCCTCTGCTGGGCCTATAAGCTTTCTTTTATTTTATTTATAGATAGGTATTTAGTCCCTGGATATAATTTAGAAATAAACAAGCAACCTACAGAATAAAGATGGCAAGTCAGTCAGCTAATGTGTGAAGTAGGGGCCTCTTGGATCACTATTCCAGGGTAAGCCCTTGGCAATGCACAATGAGGTCCCTTGAAAAAGATAAATGAGGTTAAGGTGTGTGTGGGTAGCAATACACAGACAGTCTTAATGGTTCCATTTATTTCTCTTCTGCTGGGTGGTGAATTTTAGTTTCTGTTGTATTAAAATTTAAAGAGTACATAAGTCAGTACGTAAGAAGTAGAGTTATTTTGGAGTCAATAATGGGAATGTAATAGCAACCATGTTTGGATTAGTCACCCAATCCCTCATGAGTCAACCTATTAAGATTTAAGCCTGTGGCTTCCATTCTTTGTAAAGTGCGTGTTGTACTTCACAGAGCAAAAACAACTTTCGTTCTTTATGGAGTGTGTTGTACTTCACAGAGTTAGAATACCACAGCGGATGCAATTGTTGAGTAAAGATGGAGACGTTGATTTCCACCTGCGTGGTGAAGGAGCTTAGGGACTTTGGTACTTCCAAATTCCGCATCCTTAGTGTAGGTGGTTTATTGTTAACATATGTCAAAGGCATAAATGACCAACATATAAATAAAATAAGAGGATTACTTTGGGACCAGTGACAAAAATGAACTAAAATTTGCAGTTCATAAAATTCAATACAACTAAAACTTAGGTCGGTTAAAGATGGAGGGCTTCTATTAATCATTAATGAGACTAAATTAATGAGATCTTTGGGCTACTCAGTGGATAAAAGCACTTGCTGAGAAAACCACAAGGCCTGAGTTTTATTACCACATACCACCACAAAAAGGAGAGAACCAGCTTCCAAATAGCTGTCCTCAGACCACCACACACATACAAAAGCATATACACACACCCAAAATAATAAAATGAAATTTTAATGCATATTTTTGTTCACAAAACTTCCTCCTAACTGCCATGGGGTTTACACCCTTAAAGTAATCAAATGAAATACGAAGTCATTTCTTAGTACAAATTTAAGGGCACATTAAAACCAACAGAAGTGGAGACAATGGACCAGAACTTTAACTGTATCTATAGACATGCTCATCACAATATGGAAGGATGCAGCAATACAACAGACAAGGTCCTTTTTGAGGGAATAGACTTTGGCAAACAATTAATTCAATAAAGCTCCCTACCACGAGCGCAAACATCTTCCATGCTTAGCCTGCTTCCAATTAGACAATTATTCAAACAATTATTTTAATACAAATAATGTATCCTTATCTAAATAAAACCAGTGGCCAGATACCCGACACAGTCCTAACAGCCAACAACACCATAGTTGATGGCATAGGACATGTCCTTCAGGGAAATGGTCAAAAAGACTTCATCTGTGAGTATTATGAAGCTCTGTGTCAGATAGTACCAACAATGAATGATAACCATACTTGTTTCTTTTCCCTTTTTCTTTTTCTTTCTTTGAAAAATTGGCCAACTTTATTCATTCTTACATCTGCCCCCTTCGAATACAATTCACAGAAGGCCAAGGTCATTGCCTGGGGCCAGCTTGTGCAAGAAGCACACATCACAGTAGAAACAAGCTGGGCCTTTCCTGTTCTGACATTTTTCTGAGTTGCAGTTTAGTCAAAACTCCTTGATTCATACATCTCAGAAAACTCACTGCTCTATATGTCTATGGATCTATTTTCTCCCTTTGCTCACTGCTTTATTCACTGATGTGCTGATACATACGATAAATTAATAAATCAAAAGCCCAAGAGCAACATCACTGAATAAGACATTGTTCTGTCAAGCGTCCATTCCAGACATAATTAAAAGGTCTGGACGCTTTCCCCCAGTATGCGTATACTTTTTCAGTGGTCTTAGGCCTTCCATCTCCGTATTCACCATAGGTCTATGTTTGCCCACTTTGGACCTTAAAGATGGTGCCGTGAACAAATGAATAACCATGATCTTACTACACAACTAGAATGAACAGACAATTTTGTTCCTTGTTCTGTACCTTTTCTCCTCAAGAAATTAATAGCCTAAGTATTACCAGTGAAAAAGTATATAAATGAATTGCAGCAAAAAAGAAACAATATTGAGCAACCCTTAAAGGGAATGAAATGTCACTCGTCTTCTTTTATTGAATTTTAAATCATATTAATTATCAACCCCCAGTCTGAGCACATTCCTGTCAAGGCTTACCACTAGCCTTTGTTGGTTTTACTTATGAATTATATCCATTATTACTTTGGAAAAATGCAAGCAACACCCATAAGCCAACCTCTGAACCCAAGAACATAAAATTCAAGCTATTACTCACATAAATCTCTTCAGTCTCTTCTTTTCTTACCCACAGAGGAAAAACCTAACCTTTGGCATCCCAGGATGATTCACTTGGAGGGGGCACATCCACTTGGTGAAGTCGAGCGCAAACTTTCAAAAGAAAGAGAAAGACTTCCAGTTAGATGTACCAGTGTGTGCTTACCTCAACAGCAGTGGGGTTCATAGGACAGTTTCCTATGTGTGTATTACCTACACTCATCCCTACCCCACCCGCTGCTGCTGGTCCCTTCCTAGACCCCTCTACTTCTCTTCCTTTAGATTCCACATAAGGGAGGAAAAGGACGGCCAGCATCGCACACACCTTTCTCTCTGTTGACCCACAGTGGCTCCTATTCCATTACATACTTATAAGATTGTGTATGTATTTATCCTTTCTTCCCTGTACAACCAACATCTAGCTACCTCCTAGTGCTCCTAGAAACGTCCACGGAGACACCTTGGCACACCTGTGCATGTGTCTCTGTGTGTCTACTGGTTTTACATGTCTCAGAGGGGCAGCAGTTTTTATTGGTATAGCATAAGGGAACCCAGCATTAAAAATTCTAACAGCTGTTGCTTCGCATTGTGAGTTCCGAACTGACCCATAGGTGACAATCTATATTTTCCTCAGAAAGTCTTAGAGCCACTGGGGTCCAAGAGCCAGATGTCACACAGGCATGTATTTCTATCAGAAATCCTACCCCCAGCTCAGACTTGCTAACTAGGTGTGTTTCTAATAGACTTCAGTATACTATTTAATCAAAAGTATTTATGTATACACCCCAGAACTACTCATTACTGATCCACATGCAATGTATTCCCCTCATTTATTTATCTGTACATTACTGACTGCTTCTGCATAAATTATTGACTTTTTTCATTTAGAGTTTCTCTTAATAAAAAAATCTTAGTGCCCATGAATCATGGAAATCCAAAAACAAAAATCTTTCACTAGCACAACAAGTGATTTCCAGGCTTATGCCCACAGATCAGGTACATAAGATCTCTTTTCCATTGGACCTAACCCTGAGCATATGGATGATACAATCACTTTCCTCCTGACACTCGGCTGCTCATGATTCATCCAACTGCTCCCTAAAGACAGTGGGGCCAATGAGTGCACCTCAGACTCCACAGCTAGACCCCCCCCAAGCAACACTCAGGGTCTTGCTAGGGTCTTCCTGCCCAATATTTTAAAACCTAGGTCAGACCCTCTGCTGATAGGTAAACTTTCTGCAAACATAACACAAAACCAGAAGAGAATTTTAGAGGACTATGTGGATTAACGTAATAGCCCCCAGTCTTTTCTTTTAAGGACCTGAACTGTGCTAAAAATCCCCAAATCTCAGTCCCCACCAACAGCTGACGCCTGACAGGTTTGCTCATTTTTATTTTGTTTTGCTTTTATAATTGAAAGATTAAATTGTGCACATTAAGTGTTCACATAATGTTTTCAAGGACTTTCAAACACCGCGGAATGACTAATTCTAGCTAACTAGTGCCTGAATTACCTGATTGTCACATCTGGGCTAAAAACACTTCACACACACACACACACACACACACACACACACACACACACACACACCCCGCATCGTCCTTTCTTGGCTGCTTTTCCTTTTGTTTTGCTTCCTGTAGCTATTTGATTTTTGGGTTGGGGACTTGTTTTAATGTAAGATCTCATTACGTGGTCCAGGATGGCATCAAACTCAAAGCAATCCTCCTGGCTCAGTGGCCCAGGGGCTAGAATGATAAGTGTGAGCCATCATGCCTGGCTAACCGTTTATTCCGCGTCTGTTGACAGTTGTCATTTTGATGTCAGCCCATGGATAGCACAGTCACTCTTAATTCCAGGAACCCAGACACCACTTACATGAGTGCCTTTTCTCCTGGCCCACAGAGCCTCAGACAGGCAACAGCAGGTGCATGTCACTGAATCTGCAGAGGCGAAACCTTTAGTAAGTTGCCATCATCTTTATCTAAAGGGTGACAAACATTTTAGAAAAAAATTAACGTGTTTGGTATAATGTTTAGGTAACTTGCATTTTTAAAAAATACAAGTTTTAGGAAGTTCAGGGAGCAATACAGCCTTGTGACCTCTCCCTGATGCCTAAGTCTCTCTATATCAAATCCAGAAAAACCACAGCTTTTACACATATGCACAATTAGCCAAAAATGGCTCTTATCTTATTTATTGGTCTCTTCAATTAGTATTTTATGTGATACAATTTATAACTCCCTTATATGCAGATCCTTGCCTATAGTATGTTGTGTGTATTATGTTTGTATGTATTATATATAATCTATATTATATATGTGTGTGTATGTATGGGTATAGTATAATATAAACGACAACAATATTGAATAATAGAAAAGACAAAGTGCATACCAATGAATTCATGGAAGTGCTTTGAATGCTTTCTCAATAGCTAATGTAGGTTCAATTCAAACTAAGTCCTGAAAGGGGCAGTGTCCACATATGATTCCATGAGGGGCCGTTACTTTCCTAGGAGATCTGAATGGGAAATTACATTACATTGCTTGCATATTACTGTGGGCTGCCACTAATTGTAACAACAAGTAAATTTACTGTGTTTTATGCTTTAAACATGCATTCTAGATGCATGTTTAAAATAATGTTAATTTTGAAATTGCCCCTGAATCTCACAGACTAACACATCAGGAATTTGAAGAAAGAGAAAATTACTTTTTTCGCTCTATGTCACAATTCTGAAATGTATTTGTGGGTGAGTGCATATTGTAATAAATAACTAAATAAAGCTGATCAATCTACACACTAATTTAATGATTCATAGCTATAGTAGCAATTTTAGGTGTAGATTATATCTCAGCTAAAACCCTAACCATCCAGCTGTCCAGTGTGGTTAGTGGTCACTCTAATGGACAGAGCATACCTACAGAATAACATAATCAGTCAACATCTCTCTTCCACTCCTCTCTCCTGTCTCTCCTTCCTCCCCCTCTCCCCCTCTCTCCAGGGTGTCACTATATAGTCCAGGCTAGCCTTGAACATATATTCCAGCCGCCTCAGCTTCTCTCTGATATTACTCTTATCACAACACTGCTATCACTACACGAGCATTCGTTTTCCTTCCTTTCTTTTTTTTTTTTTTTGAGAGACTGTCTTTCCCTTAATTTGTCTAGAATTAAAAGTTGATATGGAAAGCTATTATGAACTTGATCAGTGGATTCAATGAACAGCAGTATATAAGTAATGTGAACTATTAAAAAGCTAAAAATAACGTGGTCTTACTATATGTTAATGGAATTAAGTTGTATTGAAGTGGATTGGTATCTTTTTCATTTCTGAATTATACTTCTGCTGATTTGAATTAATCAGAAATCATCATATAGTCTTTGTGCCACAGGCAAACTCTAGTGTTATCTTGTGGGGACCTATGACCTCACCTACCATAGACAAGTATTCTCTCACATAGCTACATTCCCAGGCCTTTAATATTCAATGGTAATTCATTGATGCAATTTAATAACATAAAGAATATATTCAAAACAACCACTTACTAGACCACTAGCAAATTTGACAATACCTTTTTGGTTCTTGTCTATTAAGATATATAAATCTTCAATATTAGAGACAGGCTCACATAGACTATAGGGTATGAAATCAAAGAAATGTTGAAAAGTTAACAAAAGAAATAGATACATGAATCAGACATGTTTACCAATAAAATGCAGCTGTACAGAACTATATAAACTATAATACTTCTTTGTAGCACATTAATCATTAACCTACAATTAGTATTCATTTGGTTAAATTATATATTTATTTACTCATCTTTAGCACTCTTAAAACTCCTGTAAGTCAATCACCTAATACAACTAGTAGAAAAGCCATTAGACATGCAGGGTTATTTAAATCTAAATTAATAAAAAGTTAAGCCACATTGAAAGTGTTCAACATTGCTGTGAGGCTGAAAACCACCAAATGGGATGGAAGTAACCACAAGACATTACAAAGATCCTTATAACAGTCTGGAACTTTCCCTGATGGACTCAAGAGTTTGAGCCATAACACCATCATCTTCAGTTCATGTTGAGTCTCTTGAATTTGATTAGAGCATTTCTCTCTTTTAAAAGATATATTCTGTCTTACTTATTGTGTGTGTGTGTGTGCGCGCACGCACATGTGTGTGCGCGTGTGTGTGTGTGCCTGTGTGTGTGTGTGTGTGTGTGTGTGTGTGTGTGTGTGTGTGTGCAGGAGGCCAGGAAAGGGATTTTGGTCCCCTGGAACTGGACTTTACAAGTAATTGTGAATAGCCTGACATGGGTGCTGGGATCTGAACAGGAAACTCTCCTAACCACTGAGTAATCAATCTCTCCATCCCTGAGAGTTGATCCATTCTAAGGAAATGTTAGCAAGCAAGCCCCATCGGCTTAAGCACCATCCACAACAACTTATGCAGCAATGCCTTTCATCTCCTTCTTCCCACTCCTAGAGTGAACAGCCTAGAACTGTATGTAGGGTCAAATGTCTAAACAAATCATATAATGTACACAATAAAACCCCAAACAGCTGGCTAAGAGAATGGACCATGCAAGCTGTTGCTATGGTGGTCAGGGGCACATGATTTAATTAAAATCCTTCTGTGTTTGCCCCATTCTCATCACCAGTCCATGTAATTCTCTCATGTATTTATGCAATTATTTACTACTAGTACTAAAATTAACATGCCATACATTTTGTGCTGTCAATGTATGTATGTTGAAGTCAGAGAACAAACAAGTATTATTCCTCAGGCACTACCCATGTTGTTTTGCTACATTGGGTCTCTCACTGGCCTGGGACTCCCCAGCTAAGCTAGGTTGGCTAACAAGAGAACCTCGGAGCTCTTCCTGTCTTTGCCTCCCCAGGACTGGTATTATAAGCATGCTACCATGCCCAGTTTTTGTATGTGGGCATCAGAAGATCAGAGGCAGGCCCTCATGCTTGTAGGGCAAGAACATTACCAATTAGGCTGTCATCCTATCCTGAGATATTTCATTCTCTTTGCTATTTTCTTCATGGGGATCAGCCTACTATATAATTTCTAATTCGGTAATTATTATGCCTAATTGGATTAATTACCCTTGGTTCGTGACCATCTCATCGCTGACAAGTGCTTTGGCCATCTTTGATTTTATTTACAAACTCAATCATGTTTAATAATGCAATAAACACCCATCAGCCAAACACCCAAGTTCAAAATAACAAAAGTAGCCATTACTCACATTGTTGGCCCATGGCTCATTGCCCACAGTGGTCACTGCCAAGGTCTCCACCAGCAGGCTGATCTCCATCCACATTAGGGCCTCCAATCTGTGGAACACAGGCAGATATTAAAAACGACAAGGTAGGAAGACTTTCTTCATGACCATTAGTCAACAGGGTAGCTAATCTTACACTCATCACAATACTGGCCCAAGCAGGTATTCATTCATTCATTCATTCACTCACTCACTCACTCACAGTTATCGTTCTAATTAATATGCATAAATTCACCACCACCCCGCAAAACACCAAATCTTTTGTAAATGTTGATCCCTACACTTCTGCCCACAAAGGAAACAACAGACTGTCTTCCAAACAGACCCAGGTACAGAGTTGGAAACACAACCCTCTTTGCTCCCAGATACAATCTCATCATTATTGCCTATTCACTTTCCCTGTGGTTTTCATACATTTTTAAATACAATAAACACAGATGAACTGAGCACTAACGCAGAACAGACACCTCAGTACATCCAAATGATTCTTAACACAAGAACGGCGGTTAGCAGAGGTCAGTGGTATGCAGGACAGAGGCGAGTCAGAGACTACACTTGTATATGTAAGAACATTAAGCTCTCAATGGTCAATGTACACAGCAGCGACTGGAATTAACAGAAATGTAGATTCAGAATTAACACACAATGTCCACCTTAGATATTCTCCACCCACACATAAGCAGTACAGTGCGGGGGGGGGGGTATTGGACACAAGACATCAAAGCTTGAACACATACAATTTTTATTTGTCAATTAAATCATCTTAAAACAGGACAGAAAAAAACACCTCATCATTGGTCTACATTTAATTAACAGAATTCATGAATAGTTAGTTTTGTTACATAACATTAACACCATTCCTTATTATTATTTACTGAAGGGAGACCTACCAGGCCTGCCACCTGTCCAGAGGGGCTATGTAAGGGGCACAGAATGGAAGGAAATGGCTATTGGGCCCTTTTGCTTATCCGTGTCAGGTTAGCAGACCTGGGTCAGTCTTGGTGTTTTATTTGAAAGACTCTCATAGCTGCTGGCTCCAAGGCATGAGGACTTTATTTCTTGTGCTTTTCTAATTTGTAATAATAAAGTTAACAGCCCCAAAGCATTCTGAGCTCTTTTTATATGTTAGCCGCTTGGGATGAGTTAACCCCAGCCCTTCAGTTCCCAGCCCACAGTCGTCCTCAGGCCTTATACATGTCTTATTTTATTATTAGACCCACTTACGACTAATAACACATAGCCCCTCCCTCTTGCTCTCATTGTCCAGCTGCTTGCCCATTTTAACCAATGGTTCTTCCCTCCTCCTTTTACACACATAACATTTAAATACATGTGTGTCCTTAAAATATGTTTTTCAAGAGCCTGTGGCCTGCTGGAGATACACAGCTTGTCTTTAGGACACGCCCACCCAGATCTGGTGCCAGGACTTGAACCCAGACCCTTACACACATGTGCTGTTTGTTTCCACTTGTAGTCACAGTAATTAAGAGGAAAGAGTGACCTACAATAATATCCACACTATGATGCCCACCCCCAAAATCAGCCTCAACTTGTAACTAGCTGAGTGACATCAAGATAATTAACGAACCTCTCTGTGCTATGCTCCCCATCCACAAGACATCCACAACACTGGCCCGTGAGTAAAGAAAATCAGTCTCTTCAAAGCCAGGTAGAAGCCCTCCCATGACATCACTCAGCCCCTTGTCCAAATCTTTGCTCCCGCAGCTGCAGCAGCACCCGAGCGATGGTGATAGACAGACAGACAAACCAGGTTCCACCCCAGCAGGCACTCATGAGCTGTGTGACTGCAGAGACGTGACCTGGTCTCTCTGTCGTAGGATTTGTAGCGTGAGGACAGCAACACCTTCCTGGGTCCAACAGGGTGAAGGGGTACCGACCGATGGACCCGGTGGACTGACAGATGAACTAGCAAACAGATCCTCAAGGCAACGCCCACCCTGTGCATACTCTGCCAGCCAGCCGCACCCTGAACATCTCTATCTGCTCAAACAATCTGCTAAAGGTTAAACAATCAAACTCATTTCATGCTCAGGTCCAGCCATAGGTTTCAGGAAGAATTGCCCTTGGGCCAGATGTAATTGGGATCTGTTCCTTTGGGGGCCAAAATATCATAGATAAAAGAAGAAATCCGCCCGAAGGGATGCACTTCTGGAAGACTAAACACGTCGTAGGAAATGAATTGATCTCTGGGAGCAGTCTGTGCTATCAGATTCACTGTTTTGATTTGTTTGTGTTTGTTTTCCTTTAGACGAGGTCTCCTGAAACCCAGGCTGGCCTGAGGGAGGCTTTGAACCCCTCATCTCCCTGTCTCCACCTCTTGAGTGCTTGGGTTAGAGGACTGCACCACCACAGTGCCGGGGGTTTCAAGCTGAGGGCTTCCTGAATGCTAAGAAAAAAAAAACTACAAACGGAGCTACAAAGCCGACTCTGAACAGACAAGAAATTCTTGGAGTTCAAATTGTTCCCCTCTGGACCAAAGGGGGCGCCTAGTAACCAATACATTTCCATACGCAGCTCCCAGCGCAGGACCTCAGGTGGTGTGAGAGCCCCCTGTGAGCCCCAGGGGGCGTCAGCACTGTTCATTCTGCACCCAGCACGGAATACGCACGGCACATGTTAGCATACATTCCTTCCTTTCATTCCTACAACAGTCCTGTCAATTAGACATAATAGTGATAATTAGCCAATAGTTACTGAATGCAGACACTGTACCGGGCAAGCACCGTGCAGCCTGCTGTGCAAACGGGGGACATTCCTCGGGTGTGGATACGACTAGGTACCAGACATCCTCCCTCCCATTCTGTCCCAGGCAATAGGTCTGGATGCTGAGAACAGGGCAAAATCTTCTGAGAACGAGCAGCCCTGTGGGGAAAGACAGAAAAAGAAAACACTCAGACTAAAGGAGCACGAGGGGTGAGTCTCACAGGTAACTAGAGCCATGGGGGGAAAGAAAGCAGCTATCATGGGAGAAAGCCCCACTGAGACGGTGAAATTTGGACCAAGACACCAGAAGTCCTAATTTTTCCACTGGCAAACTGAACCTCAGAGAAGTTAAGTGACTATCAAGTGGTCACACAGCACGGAGGAGGCAAACGAGACAGTGAGTACCCCATGTGGGTGATGATTCTTACCAAAAACATTAAACCCTATCTCAGGAGTTGTAATGATTAAAGGAAACTAAAATAATACTTTTAAAACACCTTTTGGGGAGCAGAAGGGTTTCAGGCACCTTAAGCTGGCTCACAACTTGCTATGTGGCTAAGGGTTAATTTCTACCTCCTTAGTACTGAGACAACAGGCCTATCCTAAGTCACACAGTGTTGCCTGTTGCTGGGGATGAAACTCGGGGCTTCCAGAATGCCAGGGAAATATCTGTCCAACCCCACTACATCCCAGGCCCCTTTTATGCATTTTAAGTATTCAATTTACTGCATTTATTTATTTTTTTTACTGCAGATGTGTGTATCTGCAGTTGCCTGCAGAACCCAGAAGGGGGTGTTATATGTATTTGGGGCTGGAGTAATAAATTGTACGTGGCCTGATGTGGGTTCTGGACACTGAACTTGAACCCTCTGGGAAAGCAGTAAGCACTTGTAACTGTACCACCTGCCAGCCTCGAGTCACTTTAAATGACCGTGGGTGTGCCCAGGTGCTGTGGTGCCCTCGGAAAGGAGAGGCAGGTGGATCTCTGTGAATTAGAGGCCAGCCAAGTCTGCATAGCAAGCTTGGGAACAGCCAGGGCTACATAGTAAGACCCTGTCTCAAAAGAAATAATAATAGTAACAATAATGGTGCTTTAGGTATCCCATTTTACAACTGGACAAACTGAGGCTCTAGGGGAAATGCACACACAGAATGCTTGCTGACAGCCTCACAGAGCCTGCCCCACATGCAGCTTTTCAAAGCCTGGTTGCTAGATGGAAGCAGGTTCTGAAGGGGGGTCATCCTCAGTCTCTGTGCTCCTTGCCTCATGCCCCCTCAGGCTGAAGAGCCTTTTTTTTTTACACCTGCTCCATTAGCATTCAGTCAGAATAGAAAACGCAGGAAAACTCACTTGCTCTATTCTCCCTCGGGATGCCAGAGTACGTGTGGCCCCTGCTTGTGTGATAATTACAGATAGAGCCCACTTGAGAAGATGCTGCTTAGAAAATAAACTAAGATTCAATTGGATAAGAAGTTTAGCCCCAAAGGTGCTCCTGACATGAGGGAGGGCTGAGGAACACAGATTTCTTTTCAGGCGTGGCCGGAGAGGAGAGGCAGTCTGTCAGAAGTGTGTGTCTGCAAGCTAACAGGAGGCTGGGGCTGCATCTGCCCACTCTGAGACGTTTGGGACAGTGTTTTGCCACCTCTCGCCCTCAGCTCCCTCTGCCTTTGATTGACAGTGGAAAATGCCATCATGGAGGGTGGCTGCGATGATCTAGCATAGATAAAAGAACACCAAGTTCAAGAGGAGGGCTGAGCGTGAGGCCAGGGCTCTGGGCTTAGTCATCCAGGAGAGCCGGGGGAGAGGCAACAGCCTGCTGTTCCCCCAGCACACGTGAGAAGCAGGGACAGGGAATAGCCAGTGAGCAACCCTAGCAGCAGAGCTGGGACTGGGTCCTCGTGACCTAGTCGGCCACCTGTTATCTCAGAACCACCTGAGTCAATCGATCCACTCGGAGGCAGCAGAGAAGGCAGGAGCTTCACCAGCAGACTGCAAAGAGGGAACTTCTCCTGGAGGAGCCAGGAAGCCTTTGATCTTGGTGAGAAACTGCCTGTTCTATCTCCTCCATCTAAGGGTCTTGCATCTCTAGGGGAGCCTTGCTGGCTTGGGGTATTCATGCCCCCCATTTCATCAGCATTTTTCACCTAACAGCCGCTTTGCTGGGCACTCATGCATCTTCATGCAGGCACCTACACATCCATCAGACAGACCCTCCATCCTTCCACCTCTCTGTTTTGCAAAAGAATCAGACAAACCTGGGTTGGAGCCCCGGGTCCTGTTTACTAGCCGATCTTGGGCAAATACTTGACCCCTCAGCATCCTCTCATCTGTAAAATAATGAGCAATCAGATGTGGCTGGGACGGAGATTTAAAAGGGGGAGTGGGCTGTCTAGTGTTTGGTCTCAGCAAATTGTTATGAAATGTTCGCTCTCTGCGTTGCTGCTGCTGGGCTGGGATGGATGCAGGGAGAAAAGCCACTGCGTTTTGTACGACATGTGGAGATGATGTTTTAGAATTGCCTGGGATGTTGCGGCTGTGGCTGTGGCCTGAGCACCTTGGGGAAGGGGGTCTGTCGGGGACGCGCAGCTGAGAGTGCCATCTAGTGGACCAGGACCCTGTGGGGGTCCCTGAACTGAGCCCCCTGGGCTGCAGGCTGCATTGTTGAGATGTGGAAAAATGCTGTCTAAATCACTCAGGGGCCCTGGCCTGCCAGGCGCCTTTTGTTTTGTGGACGGAGGCCAGCTCTGTCTTGTCTATCCACTCCAACTCTTTTAGAGGTTTCCGGGAAAAACGGATAATTCAAGTAACAGCTGTTGGCTGCCGTGTCTATTTTTCGTTTGATAGGGGCTGGGGGATATGTATGTACCTGTTTGCAACTTGCCTGCTGGCTCTGGGAGGCACGCAGCACTGGCCCCGTTCTCAGGGAGAAAACGGAGGCTACTACGGTGGTGTTTGTTTAAATGCGTGGATTTTAAGAGGTACTTACCTTTGGAGACCCCACAGGCCCCTTGAAAGTGCAGGGGGCCTTTGGACAGAGATCTGCATGAGCCAATCATAAAAGAAATGTATGAGTCCGTCAGGAAGATTTGGAAACTGCACAGAGGTTAGATGACAGGAAGGAAAAGCTGTTAATTTTTAAACTGTGATAATGGTGACACACGCATGTTTATTAAAACAAATTGTGACCATGGAAGTCATCTTTATGTTTTTATGAAGGGAGACAGCCCTTTTTCAGAGATAAATAACCTACGATGCACGGAAGACACGATATGATCTCTAGAATTAGCTGCAAAGCAGTTCAAAGTGGGGACGGGGGGCAATGAGAATTGAGGGAGGGCTCAGAGCTCAGGGGAAGCAGACGGATTGATGAATTCGGTGGGCACTGCGTCTAGATGGTGAAATGAAAGTTAAAACTGTGCTGTTTAAGAGCATATTGGTTTCTCTGCTTGTGTTGTTTGGGGAAAAAAACCTCCATAATAAATGCTGGCTTTCTTTTTAATCAACAAGTAAAAACGGAGTCTAGGAGGTGAGCAGGGGTTCCAGGGAGACATTTAAAAGCCCAGAGGGGGCTTTGGGTCTAAGTCATGTCTAGCAGAGTGTTGTGGGGGCTGGCTGACAAATATTTGAGTGACGTGGGGACTGCAGGAACACTTGCTATGCAAATTGGGTGGACTGAAGGGAAAGTGCCAGTGTTGAGGGGCACTGCAGGACCAGAGACCCAGATGCACGCCATCCACCTCCCTACTGGCCTTCTGGAACCCCCTAACCCTCCCCTGGCTCTAAAAATCCCACAGTGTCTCTCCTTAAGACAGAAGCAGCAGCCAGTGTACCCTCCTGCTGGGGTGCTGCACCAGACTAGTTAAGAAAACAGCGCTGTCACCTGTCACACATAGTGAGTAACCTGCTCAGCCACACCGTTTAATTTTCTATTTTGTTTTATGTATAATTAAGCCTCTTTGGAAAGATAAGAATTGATGCTTCCCCCCCCCCAAAAAAAAACCTGTTTGCCAAGCTCCCACAGCTGCTGTCAGCCCCACTGATTTTGCTCTCACTCACAGGACAGTAAGCTGATTCACCTCGAGACCCCCAGACAGCCTGTTCCACTACCCCCTTATGGCTTTCCACTGTTCCCAGAGGCCCCGCTTTTCTGGCCCTCCTGTAACAGACACAGGCTCTGGTTCCCCTGGGTTTCCTGGGTGCCTGGCCACGATGCCCTGCCTGCAGGCTTTCTCCCTCATCGTTCATTCCTCACTCTGAGAAGCAGACATTGGACAGCTCCGACCCTCAGCCACTTGTCTGCCACTGCTCCATCTGCATTGCAGCACAGACTCTTTAAGGGAGATGTCTGTGCAGCCTGAAGCCACCCTAGGACACTGCAAGCCCCCACCCCTCCCACCCACAACTGCCTGCATCCTCTACAGCTGCAGCAAATAAAGAGCAGCCACGGAAAGCCAAAGCACAACTCCCTCTTCTTGCCCCCCTCTCCTCGTTTAAGAAGGCAAAAACTGTAGCCCAGGCAACTCCCTTGTGACACTTGGGGTCGCCACAGACTCTTGACTGGTCTTGACCCCCTGGCTTAGTACTCCCCCTTTACAACTGGATTCAAACAGTGTGGCTCAGTGCTTAGCTGTGGGTCTCTGATTCTGCTTCCATCAGCTGGAGTATGAAGGCTCTAGGATGACATATAAGGTAGTCATCAATCTCATTATAGGGGAGGGGTAGTCACTTCTGCTGACAGCAACTACTGGAGGAAGGCTCTAGGTAGACATATAAGGTAGCCATCAATCTCATTTTAAGGGAGGGGCATACCCTTCTCCTTCCCTCAGCTACTGGAGGAAGACTATAGGGTGGCATATAAGGTAGTCATCACTCTCATTATAGGGGAGGGGCATTAGCTTCTGATTCCATCAGCTATGGGATGAAGGCTATAGGACGGCATATAAGGTAGTCATCAATCTCATTAAAGGGGAGGGGCATTCGCTTCTCCTGACAGCAACTGCTGGATGAAGTCACTAGGATGGCATATAAGGTAGCCATCAATCTCATTAAAGGGGAGGGGTAGTCACTTCTGCTGACAGCAACTATTGGATGAAGGCTCTAGGATGGCACATAAGGTACTAATTGATCTCATTATAGGGGAGGGTATTTGCCCCTGTTGGCAGCAACTATTGGATGAAGGCTCTAGGATGCCATATGAGGTAGTCATCAACCTCAATATATGGGAGGGGCATTCGCTTCTGGTTCCATCAACTACTGGATGAAAGCTCTGGGGGCCATATAAGGTACTCATCAATCTCAGCATAGGGGAAGGACATTCCCTTCTGCTTCCATCAGCTGCTATTTGAAGACTCTAGGGTAGCATACAGGGTAAACATGAAAGCTACAGGATGAAGGCTCTAGGATGGCAGATAAGGTAGTCATAAATATCATTATAGGGGAGGGGTATTCTGTTCTGCTTCCATAAGCTACTGTATGAAGGCCCTAGGGTGGCATATAAGGCAGTCATTAATCTCATTATAGGGGAGGGGTATTTGCTTCTGTTGACAGCAACTATGGATAAAGGCTCTAGGATGGTATATACGGTAGTCATCAGTCTCACTATAGAGGAGGGGTATTTGCTTTTGCTGTCATCGGTTACTGGATGCAGGCTCTAGGGTGGCATATAAGGTAGTCGTCAAGTTCATTATAGGGAAAGGACATTTGCTTCTGCTTCCATCAGCTACTGGTTAAATGTTGCATGATGGCATATAAGGTACTCATCAATCTCATTATAGGGGAGGGGCATTTGCTTCTGCTTCCACCAGCTAGTGGATGAAGACTCTAAGCAGATATAAAAGGTACACATCTATCTCATTATGGGGTGGGGCATTCACTTTTCCTGACAGCAACTACTGGATGAAGGCTCTAGGACACCATACAAGGTAGTCATCAGTCTCATTAGAGGGGAATGGCATTTGCTTCTGCTGAAAGTAAATACTGGATGAAGGCTCTAGGGTGGCATATAGAGTAGTCATCAATCTCTTTATAGAGGAGGGGATTTGCTTCTCTTGACAGCAACTACGGGATTAAGGATCTAAGATGGCAAATGAGGCAGTCATTAATCTCATTATAGGGGAGGGACTTGTGAATCTGCTTCCATCAGCTATTGGATGAAGATTCTAAGCTAAAAGAAAAAAGGTACGTATTAATCTCATTATGGGGGGGCATTTGCTTCTGCTGACAGCAACTAAAAAGGCTCTAGGATTGCAGATAAGACACTCATGAATCTCATTATATGGGAGGGGCATTTAGTTCTGTTGACAGCAACTTCTGGAGGAAGGCTCAAGGTTAGCGTGTAGGGTAGTCATCAATCTCTTTATAGGGGAGGGACATTTGCTTCTGCTTCCATCAGCTAGTGGATGAGGACTCTAAGGTGACATAAAAGGTACACATCAATCTCATTATGGGGGGGGCATTCAGTTTTCCTGCCAGCAACTACTGGATAAAGGCTCTAGGATGGCAGATAAGGTAGTCATCAGTCTCATTAGAGGGGATTGGCATTTGCTTCTGCTGACACTAAATACTGGATGAAGGGTCTAGGGTGGCATATAAGGTAGTCATCAATCTCTTTATAGAGGAGGGGATTTGCTTCTCTTGACAGCAACTACGGGATTAAGGATCTAAAATGGCAAATGAGGCAGTCATTAATCTCATTATAGGGGAGAGACACTCGCTTCTGCTTCCATCAGCTACTGGATGAAGATTCTAAGCTGACATAAAAGGTACACATCTATCTCATTGGGGGGGCATTTGCTTCTGCCAACAGCAACTACTGGAAGCTCTAGGATTTCATATAAGACACTCATGAATCTCATTATATGGGAGGGGCATTTATTCCTATTGACAGCAACTACTGGAGGAAGGCTCAAGGATAGCTTGTGGGGTAGTCATCAATCTCATTATAGGGGAGGGGCATTTGCTTCTGTTGACAGCAACTACTGGATGAAGGCTCTAGGATGGTATATAGGGTAGTTATCAATCTCATTATAGGGGAGGGGCATTCGCTTCTGCTTCCATCAGCTACTAGATGAAGATTCTAAGCTGACATAAAAGGTACACATCAATCTCATTGGGGGGGCATTTGCTTCTGCCAACAGCAACTACTGGAAGCTCTAGGATTTCATATAAGACACTCATGAATCTCATTATATGGGAGGGGCATTTATTCCTATTGACAGCAACTACTGGAGGAAGGCTCAAGGATAGCTTGTGGGGTAGTCATCAATCTCATTATAGGGGAGGGGCATTTGCTTCTGTTGACAGCAACTACTGGATGAAGGCTCTAGGATTGCAGATAAGACAGTCATGAATTTCATTATATGGGAGGGGCATTTACTTTTTTGACAGCAACTACTGGAAGAAGGCTCAAAGATAGCTTATAGGATAGTCATAAATGTCATTATAGGGGAGGGGCATTTGCTTCTGTTGACAGCAACTACTAGATGAAGGCTCTAGGATGGTATATAGGTAGTTATCAATCTCATTATAGGGGAGGGGCATTCGCTTCTGCTTCCATCAGCTAGTGGATGAAGACTCTATGCTGACATAAAAAGTACACATCAATCTCATTATGGGGGGGGGCATTCAGTTTTCCTGACAGCAACTACTGGATAAAGGCTCTAGGATGGTATATAGGGTAGTCATCAATCTCATTATAGGGGAGGGGCATTCGCTTCTGCTTCCATCAGCTAGTGGATGAAGACTCTATGCTGACATAAAAGGTACACATCAATCTCATTATGGGGGGGGGGCATTCACTTTTCCTGACAGCAACTACCGGATGAAGGCTCTAGGGTGGCATATAAGGTAGTCATCAATCTCTTTATAGAGGAGGGGATTTGCTTCTCTTGACAGCAACTACTGGATTAAGGATCTAAGATTGCAAATGAGGCAGTCATTAATCTCATTATAGGGGAGGGGCATTCGCTTCTGCTTCCATCAGCTACTAGATGAAGATTCTAAGCTGACATAAAAGGTACACATCAATCTCATTATGGGGGGCATTTGCTTCTGCCAACAGCAACTACTGGAAGCTCTAGGATTGCAGATAAGACACTCATGAATCTCATTATATGGGAGGGGCATTTATTCCTATTGACAGCAACTACTGGAGGAAGGCTCAAGGATAGCTTGTGGGGTAGTCATCAATCTCATTATAGGGGAGGGGCATTTGCTTCTGTTGACAGCAACTACTGGATGAAGGCTCTAGGATGGTATATAGGGTAGTCATCAATCTCATTATAGGGGAGGGGCATTTACTTCTTTGACAGCAACTACTAGATGAAGGCTCTAGGATGGTATATAGGGTAGTCATCAATCTCATTATTGGGGAGGGGCATTCGCTTCTGCTTCCATCAGCTAGTGGATGAGGACTCTAAGCTGACATAAAAGATACACATCAATCTCATTATGGGGGGGCATTCAGTTTTCCTGACAGCAACTACCGGATGAAGGCTCTAGGATGGCAGATAAGGTAGTCATCAATCTCATTATAGGGGAGGAGCATTTGCTTATGTTGACAGCAACTATGAATGAAGACTCCTAGATGGCAGATAAGGTAGTCATCAATCTCAATATAAGGGAAGGGCATTCGATACTGCTTCCATCAGTCACTGGATGAAGGCCTGATGGTTGCATACACGGTAGTCATCAATATCAATATCAGAATAGAGGAAGGGCATTTGCTTCTGTTGACAGCAACTACTGGATGAAGGCTCTAGGATGGCATATAGGGTAATCATCAATCTCATTAATGGGGAGGGGCATTTACTTCTGTGGACAGCAACTACTGAATGAAGCCTCTCGGATTGCAGATAAGGTACTCATAAATGTCATTATATAGGCGGGTTTTCCCTTCTGCTTCTATAAGCTATTGTATGAAGGCTCTAGGATGGTAGATAGGGTAGTCATCAATCTCATTATAGAGGAGGGGCATTTGCTTCTGTTGACTGCAACCATGGATGAAGGCTCTAGGATGGCAGATATGGTAATCATCAGTCTCATTGTAGGGGAGGGGCTTTTGCTTCTTCTTCTATAGGTTACTGCAAGAATACTCTAGGATAACATATAAAGTACTCATAAATCTCATTATGGGGGAGTGGATTTCGTTTCTGCTAACAGCAACTACTGGATGAAGGCTCCGGGATGACAGATAAGTTAGTCATCAATCTCATTATAGGGGAGGGGCATTCTCTTTTCCTGACAGCAACTACTGGATGAAGTTTCTAGGATGGCATATAAGGTACGTATTGATCTCGTTATATGGGAGGGGCATTTGCTTCTGCTTCCATTAGCTACTGGATGAAGACTGGAGGGTGGCATAAAAAGTAGTTATCAA